AAAAGTGGCTTTTCGAGAAAAGTGGCTTTTCAGGGACACCGCGCGCGCCAACGCCGCGAGAAAAGGTACTTTTCGCAAAAAGTGGCTTTTCGAGAAAAGTGGCTTTTCGAGAAAAGTGGCTTCTCAGGGACGCGCTCCAACGCCACGAGAAAGTCACTTTTTGCAAAAAGTGTTTTTTCGAGAAAAGTGGTTTTTCGAGAAAAGTGGCTTCTCGAGAAAAGTGGCTTTTCAGGGACGCGGCGCTCGCAAACGCCGCGAGAAAAATCACTTTTCGACAAAAGTGGCTTTTCGAGAAAAGTGGCTTTTCGAGAAAAGTGGCTCTTCAGGGACGCTGCGCTCGCGCAACGCCCGAGAAAATTTACTTTCGCAAAAAGTGGCTTTTCCGGAGCATTTTCCCCGTAACGTCAAAGACACCCCACACGCCAGCACAGAAGTTCCCGGACCTGCAGTGTGCCTGGTTGTTTTTTTTTTTTGTTTTTTTTGCGCTGCTCCTCACGCTTAGGCTGCGCGCTGTTCCACCGGCCGCAATAGCCGACTACGCACGTGCGCGTGACGATGCAGTGCGTTCCCAGGCACGTCCACATGCAGGGGCATGGCTCGCCGCCATCCCTGCCGACCCCGCGACGACGCTTGCGCCAGACCTCATGCGCCTCGCGCTCTGGCGCCGCATGCGTCTACCTTTATTTCTTACACGTGCCAGGTGTGGAGGAGGCGGAACGCCCGGCTGCCACGCTTTCGTCGACAACCTGGGAAAACACGCCTTTGCGTGCCCGGCTCGCCGCGGCTTTTTCGAGAGAGCTTGCAGGGAAGCGATCGGGCCAGAGGATGCCAGAGGGGGGAGTGGTGCAAATACGACGGCGCCTGGGGCAGCAGCAGACGATCGCCGAAGGCTCGACTTCGTCATATGTGGCGCTGCCGTGCGTGGCGAGGCTTTGTGCTGCGACGCAACCCTAATGTCGCCCGGGCGACGTGAGGGCAGCCCTCAAAATCGAGGGGTCTGTGCGCTCGTGATGTGCGATGTTTTTTGCCGCCTCGTCAGTCACACGCTGGCGCAGCAATTCGCGGAACTTTTGAGACAGGCCTGCGCCCTGTTCCAGTACGCGCCCAGCACGCGGGCAGGCCCCGAGGCCCTGGTGCGTGCGTTGCGGGCTGCCACGGAATCGGACCCCCGCACGACCATCTTGAGCATAGACGGCGTGGGGGCATACGACCACATCTCCCGGGCCAGCATGCTTGGCGGCTTCCGCGATCATGCTGCGCTCTCGGGCTTGCTCTGAGAGCCCAGGCGGCCACGTTGCTGAAGCTGCCGGTGCGCCCCGTCGACGCTAGTGACGGCGCTGAACCGTCTGGCCGAGCTGCCGTAGTGCCGACCGGACTGTAGTCGCGCAGGCGCAAAACAGGCGTTGGGGAACAAAACAAAATCGGGGGGCGCTGTCCCAGCGTCTCGTGCAGCATTGTCACTAGAAACGGCTTGCTCCCCAAAGCTGCTTCCTGCAGAGCCTATGTATTTAGCCAGCTACTTGGCACGGCTTTGTCAGGCCATGGCCGAAATGATGCCACGACTGAAGCAAAAGGGACCGTGCTCAACTCAGCATTAAAAGTCGACGCAATGAAACCACCGCCAGAGAGTCCAGAGGTCGTGTGGGTCTACTTGTTTGGCCATGTGCCTGGAGTACCTTGGTCTGCCATGTGACCCTGCCATCATCGAGCGGCGGATTCACCCATACGGTGCTGTGGATGTAGGCAGGGCATAACATCTGAGTCGCATTCGAAAAACGCAAACTTTGAGAGTGCAAAACAAGAACGACAATTTGGGAGCTGGCATCAACCTCGCATCATAGGTCCACCAGTCATTTCCAGGCAGGCTTCTCCGTTGGTTAGATGATATCTAGCATTGCGTGACCGAATGGCAGGCGAGCTGCCGGCTGAGTTGGCAAGATTCGCTCGACGTTTGGGTTTCGTTGCGCAGCATTACAACCGTGGGACGGTGCAGCAGTTGGAGTACCACCTTCAACAGGCCAGCCGGCAGCAACAAGGCTTTTTGGTGATTTTGACTTGATGATTTTTATGACTTAGATTCGAACACGCCTTGCTTGCACAGGGTCATGTTGTGATCCTCATGCTCAATTACAAGAATGGAGGGGGCCATTTGGTGAACCTGCTCGGTTTCGACACGGAGGGTGACCAGATTACCGGTTTTCGGATTCTTGGACCTGAGAAGGGGCCTGCAGGGCCTACAGTCCTTGCAGAAAATTGCGCTGCAGTGCTTCTCCGGCCTCAGGATACGCAACCCATGGGGATTTGATGAAAGCATACCCACAAAGCGCTTCTTGAACGAATGGCGCCATATGAGGCAAAGCAGAAACTCCATCGAGCACCGTCTGCATTGATAAAGGTTTTGCGTTCAAAGATGGAGAGGAGGGAGGAGACAGACGATATGGGGCTGACAGACTCATGTGAGATCGGCCAAGGTGGGATCTTTGCTGCCGGTTTTCGATGCCGGCTTTGCAGTGCTGGCATCGAGTGGGACTTTGCCCACAATGACGTTCTTGGATTGGCTGCATTCCGCTCCGGTGGATCTTTTGGTATCGTCTATGCGTCTCAATACCATTTATCTGGATTTGGATGTTGTATGGCGTTGTTTTGCCGAAGCTTTTTCAGCTTAGCGTGCGCCAGTGCAGCGTGTCATGCATACTTGGAGGAATGGTATTGGAGGCAGTGCTTCGACGATGTGCAATCATCATTGGCTTCCAGCTCTTGGCCAGTTGTTCGGCAATTGCATTGGCACGTTGGGTGGTCTGGCGGCCTACACTATAGGTTCCTTGATGTGGAAGCAGGCAAAGCATGCATGCATTTCATGGGTCTAGTTTCCATTCAGTAGTGGTTTGCTAGGAATGAGTTTGCCAAGGCAATTTGGTCGGATTGAATCTGGTGTTTGTCGGTGACCGTTTCCTGGCCACGGAAAAGTCCAGCGTGGTGGGTCACGTGCTCAGTGTCCTCGGCTCGTCCTTCTCTGTATCAGGCGGCTGGGTTGCACGGTGAGTAGCCTGCAATGTTGAGAGACGGTGTCTGGTTCTATTGCTAAGTCGTATTGTTCTTGTCAATCGCACAATATGTGCGTTTCAAACACGCCTGCGGGGCATCCTCATTTTTATTTTTCGATCTCTCTCTCTCTGGTTCCGTCTCGGCCGCTCTCTTTTGTTACTTTTTTCTTTTTGTTCCAATTCGTTTCCAATTTTTATGTTTGCAAAGTCGGATGGTGGTTTCAAAAGTCAAAGAAGTCGAAAAAGACGTGCGCGCACTGGCACAATGACCACACTGTGCGTTAGTGTGCGTTCGTCTGCCTCTCAAGTCGTGGTGAAGAAGTTAAGATGTTGACGGGCCGGCCATACCATGTCACAACCGGGAGCTGTGAGAAGCGCGATATTCTTTGGGTTGGACTGCTTTAGTTCGGGTTTTGGTGGGTGCTCGAGCTAGGATATGCTAGGATTGTTGGGGGGGGTGTTGATGATGGCATGTGATGTGCAGTCCTCTCAGGCGGCCTTGTTGCTGCAGGGGTGCAGCTCATTCGCAAACCTTTGATTATTGCCGGAGAGATGCTTGCAGGCCGGTCCACAGCCTTATATGCATGTTTTGCTTGCACATCGTGCGAGTGCAGGCCGTGATGCCCTCTGCGAAACGATCTGCGACACAAACTTGCCGCGCCTGCATAGTGCCCTGGCACGGGCAGAGGCTGAGCAGATATCGCGCCAGGCCTGGCTCACATGGGAGAGTTTTTGGTTTGCCTGCTTCGCTGTCTATCCTCGTTACTTGCCCGCCGCCCCCAGAAAGCCCACAACGGAGAATCCCGCCGAGTTTCCTGCAGAAGGCACGAATCCCACCGAGTATCCCGCCGAGTTTCCCGCAGAAGGAAGGATGCAGAGAATACCGCCGAGCATCCCCCAGCGGAGCCCGCAGCAAATCCCGCCCAGTATCCTTGGAGAGTTTTCAGAGAGACCCGCCAGAGATGCCCCCCAACAGTCCGTTCCACCGATCATCCCTGGATTGCCCTACCTGCTCCTATAGTTTCTTCTGTGCCTGGTGTCGTGCTCAGCTGCGCCTCCTTCGAAGCAGCTTCCATGGCGACAACGAGAAACATTCTGCTGAGCGCCTCCTCATGCTCAGCACTCAGTATCAAGGCAAAGCAGGCACGAGCAAATGTACGTAACGCAGGCAAGTGCTTCGCACCCAAGATCGCTCGAGGTTGTCACCTGGCAGCGGCTTCAGCGATTTGTCCGTGCTCCATCAGAACTGATGGAATTCGGCCACAGCAAACCGCTCCTTCAGCTGCTTCCTGCGACCATCTTGTGCCATGCCACGGTTCTGCGATGCCGAAGAAGGAATTTGTAAGGCCACGGCCTAAGTATGGGAAGGCCTGGAGGGTTGGAGGGAGGCGCCGCTACAAGGCCTGATGCAGCCGCTTACAGCTGACAGACCCGGAAATGTGTGACCTTGTTGGTAACTTACATCCGCAGCCCAGACAGTGCCTTTTTCTTTCCAATTGCCCACTGCACGATATGACGGTCGTGATGCAGTGTGGGACTTCGGTCGTGGTGATGCGACTTTTGCGAGCCCGATATGTAAGAAGTGGTGCGAGCTCGTGTACCTTGAGCTGACGTATTGCATGCCTTGTGGTCGCAGCTGCGGGAGGCCGAGGGCCACTTAGCAGAGAACGGAAGGACAGGGGAGGCAAACAGCAGACACGAGCCCAGAACAGTGTCTTGGTCCTGGGCGGAAATGCGTCCTTCACATCCTCGCTGCTATGCACCAGAACCATACCTCGCGGCAGCATGGAGTGAGCCTGAATCTGGGAGTGATGCAGCCCCTTCTTGAGACTTGACTTTTAGCGCGTTTGTCATGCCGGATAAATCGGATTCCAACCTGCTTCAGTGTCAGGGCAGACAGGCGGCAACTAAGATGATAAATAGGCTTGACGTGACAAGGCTGTTTTCTTGCCTGAGGCTTGTAGCGGTTGGCGCGAGATCAACCGTGGGCGCCTAGGCTCTGCTCCGACAGAGTTCCTGCACACAGCAAGTTGTGTGTGCCTGTGTGTGGGTGTGTGTGGGTGTGTGTGGGTGTGTGTGGGTGTGTGTGGGTGTGTGTGTGTGGGTGTGTGTGGGTGTGTGTGTGTGTGTGTGTGTGTGTGTGTGTGTGTGTGTGTGTGTGTGTGAACCACCTTAATGAAGAGGCGCAGGGGGAGCGCGCCCGTCGTACTTTCGAAGCGTTTTGGAGCCGTTTCTCGCGAAGTGTCAGGCAGGCTCCTCACATGTCTTCAGAAAATCGCCAAGGATGCCTGGTGATGTACCTGCAGTTTTCCACGGCCTGCCCAAAGTCCACCCTCAAAGCTGTGGCTTCTCAGTGGGCCTACAAGTTGCATGGCTGACGCAATCTGGCAGCAGATGCAAATGGGTGGGGGGTCTGCGCCCCCAAAGCCCCTCCTTTTTTGTTTGCGCCGTGCAAGCTTGTTTCAAAGCATGTGAACCTTCCATCATGCTATTGTGTTTGCAAAGGGGGGGGGTTGTGTGCCCCCCCCCCAACCCCCAGCTTTCTTAAACGCACATGAAGCTTTTTGAAGTGCGAGCTTTGTGTTTGCAAATGGCTTGCGCAGACATCTCTTTTCTCTGTGACGGGGTGTCGCACAAGCAGAAGGGTCACTTTGGAACGCCGTTCAAAAAGGCGTAGTTTTGGAACTCTGGAATGCCAGAACGCCAAAAGTGTCATTTTAGAACGGGCCCACATTTAGTGCCAAAAGTGATGGCCGGAAAAGGTGTCCGTTTAGACTGCGGCCGCACGCCTAAGCGCGGTGCTTGCTCCTGTTTTGATCTGTTTTGTGGGCCTGTTGATTCTTGAGCCTCCTTGTGTTCCAGCATGATGCTTTCCAGTGTTCCAAAATGAGGCTCCTGTGTTCCAAAATGAGGCTTTCCTGTTTTCCAAAATGACGCCTTTTCCATTGAGTGGGAAGTACTCTTGGCAGTTGCGAACCGATCGCAGTGTGGCGCGCACGCGCACGTGAGGTCGGTGTGTGTGTGTGTGTGTGTGGAAGCCCTGATTCTAAGCTAAGGGTTTTTGGAGGACTTGACTGTGCCAAAGCGGAACGGATAAGACCCATTTCTGCGGAATGTCAGAGGTTGTTTGTGGCTCGGGGGTGAGGCGGCCCCCATCAGCCTACCAGTGGCCAGGATGCCGAAAAGCACTGTCTGGGGTGTGGAGGCTGCTCGGCTTAAATTAAGTGGAGGTGCGCGGGGTCGCTGCTGTGGCCTCTCGAATGTCCTTGTGGCAGCTGGGGGTCCACGACGACGACAAGGACAATGGGAGATGCCCCTGGGTCACTACTGTGGCAGCTGGGGTTTCCGGGACGCTCCTGGGCCTTTCATGACAGCTGGGTCCTAACAAACGAATTGTCTCCTCATGGTAATGTGGTCGCCGCTCAGCTTCGGTCTTAGTGGAGGTGATCTGGATCGCTGTGGGTTGTGGCAGCTGAGGGTCCTCCAACGACAACGACGGCGATGATTGGAGGTGCCCTGGGTCACTTCGGTGGCAGCTGGAGGACTCACCGGTGACAAAGGTGCAAAACCAGGACTTTCCCTCTTCGGAGGGCGTGTGTGTGTGGAAGCCAAGATTCTAAGCTAAGGGTTTTGGAGGACTTGATTGCCGTTGAATGCTCAGGGGGTCAGGACGGTGCTGCAGTTGCCTGATCAACGAAGCTGGCTGCAGTTGCCGAGGAAGCAAGGTGGGACGCCGCCTTGTGTACCTGCTGAATGTTTTCATACTCATCATGCAAGCTGTGCATGGTTCGCGTCCTCTGATGTCATCGCTGTACAATCCCGAAACGCCCGCCAAATCTGCAACTTTGTACCTTGGATTTGGACAACAGTTGCATGGTCATGAGTTTCACATTTCTCGTAAAAAAACCGGAGCGGGATGCCACAATTACTCTGTGTCTGTGTGTGGTTTGTGTGGGTGTTTGTGTTTGTGTGTGTGTGTGTGTGTGTGTGTGCATGCCTTCTTTGCCTCTCTTCTCGCCGCGAGTTCCAAGTTGTTCAATCCTTCATTGGCGAGGTCAGGAAGTGGAAGGTTGGCCTTGCTCAGCTGCTGCCAAGCGTCAAAGTGGCCACCCAAAGGCCCTGACCAAAAACGTGAGAACATGGCGAAAACGACGAGTGAGCTTAGCAGGTGGCCAACCAGGAGCTACGCAAGGTTCCGGACCGGGCACATGTTCCGCAACACCGTCGGACGCGTTCAGTCCTGCTCACAGACAGGTGCTGGCAGGAGCTGGTATGGATTCGACAAGTGCCGGCCTGAATTTCTCAAACGTTTCATGGCAACTTCCGCATGTTCCATTGCATTCTAAGCCCGCGGCATTCTGCATGAACTGTGCAACTTGGGCGGTTGTTGGCTGCCAGCATGTTTCTTGCTTGTCGTTCAGTTGCCCTTCAGAACCTTCAGAGCTCCTAGGCGTTTCTGGCGAGACTCAGGCCAGGTACCACTTCAAGTTTTAGGCTTTTGGCTGTCAGTTCTTGCATGAAGAAGCAGCCGCAACTTCTGCCAGCAATCAGGTTAAACGCAGCTCTGGAGACCTCGAGCTGCGTTTGGCAAGGCCCTGCGAAGCAGTCAGGTCATACGCCATAAGCTTTCAATGCTCGTTTCCCTCGCTTGCCGTTTCGCCTGAAGCATCTCAGTGTCTCAGAGCAGCTTTGAACAGACGCGACCTCCACCTGGAACCCCAAGACCGCAGCAGTTAGGACAGGTTACTGTAGTTACTGTAGTTGCCTGTAGTTTCACTCATGTGTGTGACCATGTGCGCTTGTGGGGCCGCTTGTGCTGCTGCGTCTATCCTGTTGACGATTGCCGCGATTCTTGGCTGCTTTGGGACACCGTGTCTGCATGGCCTCAATTTGATCTGAGTGACAAAAAATAGGAAACACTCGACTATCCCCGAATCGAAGAAATGCTGCGCAAACCTCCGAAAAGTCGAACATGCCCAGGATCTGGTAGGGCTGGTAGGGCTTGCATGCATGGAATCTTTGAGGTTGTTTGGAGCTTTGTTGGTGCCGGAGATCTCCCGCGAATTTCACAGACAGTCTATGATACACTTCTCTGGAACTGGAATATTCGTCTCGGGCATGATCTCGACAGGTGGGTGCACCCTCAAAACGTTTAAGCCGCAATTGGCTTGTCAAGCGGCAGCTTCACGGCAGTTACTCGCCTCACTTATCGTGCTTTTGAGGCCGTCACTTCACTTATTGCTTGGGCGATTACTTGGGCTGTGTCAAAGATGAAGTTGCCACCGAACTTATTCAAACGTTCAGCTGGGAGACTGGCGTCGGTCTGATTGCTGTCTTCGCACCCAGCTACGCCTTCCACGGGGACAGTGTTCCGGCCGTTCTTCATGTATTTCTTTGTGTTTGTCAAGTGTGTCACGTGCTTTTGACTGTCATGCTCCTGATGCCAAGAAGTGGGCACAATGCATTTTTCGCATGCCGCTTACAAGAGCTGGGCTCATGATCCGGCCGCGGGCCGACCGCCAGACATGATGGTGGGATCGAACAAGACATCGCTTCCAGCAGGAGACCCGACAAAGCTCTGGCAGCACAGAGTGCTTCGTCACACGCACAGATTTGGAAAAGAGGGAGAGGGCGAGAGAGCGACAGAGCGACACAGCGAGACAAAGGGTCTACTTAGTCTACTCCTAAGAAGAAATAAGAGAGAGCGAAAGAGACAGCACACGGACTCTTCCGCGAGCTTAGGCGGCAAAGTCTGGATTCGTCTCATGCCCATGTGCACGAGGGAACAGTGTGTGCACAGGAGTACTTCCAGACCTTTCTCCAGATGTTCTGCTGAACTTCGACACGGGCTCCGCAGAGCACACGGCCCGCCGACAACTTTTGGCAGATGCGTGGCTGGGTGCACCTCATATACTGTACGCTGCACCTCCTTTCACAGCTAAGTCTGACTCTGAAGATTAACGCTTTTTCAACTTTGCGTGCAGCTGTGCACCCGGCAACCCAGGCTTCCAGGTCTCGCACAAAAGTTCCAAGTGGACTTCCAGGTGCCCCCGGGAATCGATGGTGCAATCAGCAAGCGGGCGGTCTTCGACACCGTCGGCTTCAACTTGTGGCTTGCCGATCTTAGAGCGAAGGGCAGACCTGTATTTGCTCTTACATCTTCCCACGTGTTCCTACATGTCGCTGCATGTGTCCACACATGTTTCTACCAGCTTCCTCGCATGGCGAGCGTCGGACCACTTCACTGTCCTTGTCAGGTTCCGTGCGTTGTTTGGGGTCGACGTTGGTGCTGAGCTTGACATGATTTTTGAATATGACGCTTGCATGCACGTGCAGGGCGGGCTGTGCACAGAATCATCGCAGAAATCTTTCAGGGAGAGGGAGAGAGAGAGAGAGAGAGAGAGAGAGCAAGAGAACACTCTGGGGATTTTCAGAGGGCACTTCTCTCAAGTCTCTTTCAGCGAGGATGGCACTTTCACCCCTGCGGTGTTGGGAGCCCCGATCTTGTCCTTCCAAGGCCCCCCTTGGAGCATTGGAGGGCTATTGGAGGGCTGGGTTCAGGGTGGGTTCAGGGGAGTTTCGGATTTGGTACAAGAAGTAGGGGTTGCCCCGGTTTCGGAACGGGTACTGTGACGCCAACTCTGTGACCAGGCCGCCGGCTTTCTGAGATCCGCTCGGTCCTTCTCAGGAAGGTTGAGGCTGGAGAGATCGCTCAGAAGTTCGTGGCTTTGGCTGCGGAGCGAGGCCTGCTACCGAACAGCATTGAGCTGGAGAGCTTTTGAATGTTTTTATGTATTTGTTGCGGTTTTTTCTTCAGCCAGCTTCCGCCTTGATTGCAAAAATGTAATTGTTGGTGGCTCTTTGGAGATAAGGCCGGGAAGGCAACGCCTGGATGAAATGGTCTGGATTGCTCTCTTTGCTGGATACGGAGGGACAAGCAATCTAGCATATGAGACGTTGCGACTGATCTTGAAGGACCTGCATGTCACCAATGTTCTGAGTGCACGCTGCAGTTGGCATGCGCTCACGGCCATCATTGTTGTCATCAGGACCCAGCCTATTATGTCCCACTGTTTCAAAAGGACGCTGATGCCTTCATGCCGCTTGCATGCACGCGCGCGCCCTTTCTTCGCGTGTGACACATTTGCGGTGATACGTCTGAGGCTGGAGTCGGCACGCGTCAAGCCACCTGTCGGCGGCATGAACCCAGTGCAGTACCGCAAGCCTGCACAAATACAATTCAGTTCCATCGGCAGAACATGGACGACGCGGGAAGGCATCTTAGCTTTGCATGAGAGATCAGACGTGTGCCTGCTGAAAGCGCCTTTGTGTCTTTGTGCCTTTGTATGCTTTTACGCACGAGCAGAGAAGCGCCGGAGCCATGCCGAGAGGTGAGCTGGCCATGTTGTTGAGCAGCGGGGCCAACCACGATCCATCCATTTTCAAGGATGCACATGCCTTCATTCCTGGCCGTGAGAACGTGACTCGCCCGCTTCAAGGGGCTTGATGTTGGTTGATTTTGGTGGGCTTTTTCTTCTGAACTGGCCATCCAAAAGTCCAAGGCCGAGCGCCTCCTTTCCTGGAACAACGCGACTTGCCTGAAGTTGAGACTGGAGCTCATGAGCAGGTCATGGTTACTTGGTTCGGGCCTCCAGCCGACTGTTCTAGCCACGGCCGGCGCGGAGCTGTGTGGAAGGAGTGGGGTGCCTTCAAGACTTGCGAGACCGTCGCCGGATGCCCTGCAGCACCTCGTGGCTGTCCGGGCACATTCCTCTCGATGAAGCTGGCCAGAGAAACGGCCGGGGCGATTGTGCTGTGTGGGCATTTTGCTTGTCATCAGTTTGCCTCCTCATTAACCATGATTCATTAGCACCTGAACCAGGTCGCATTCTTTGTCGAAGGATTGGCTACCAAGCTGAAATCTGGCTCGCAAGAGCTTTGAACCGATTGCTGCTTTTGTAGATGTAGATGCTTCGGCATGAAAGCTGCTGCGAATTTCGAGGGAGGTAGTTTGGTTTTCATGTCCGAGATCAGCTAATCATCTCCGGCATGCTTGCATGCTGGGCCTCTGTTGACTGACAAATGAAAAAAAAAAAGGACCCGGACCATTACAGACACGTGGCAGTGCCAGATCGGCGCTTCGGAAAAGAAGCGGAAAAGACTTCATGCCAACAGTTTTCTGCATAGTTTTTGCGTACTCAGTCAAGCTCAGATGCCGAATGAACCGCCCTGAGGGCGCGAGGTTTGCTGCGAGCGGCTTTGGTGCGGGAGGATGCCTTGTTCGCTGATGAGGTGCCCGCCTGAAGAAGCTGACAGGTCATGGTTTCTGTTTAAGAGTGCATACCCGTGCCATGTGGGGAGCTGGGATTTCGGCACGTGGCCGCATATCGGAGTTCACATTTCGGGACGCTGGGCTTCATGATGCTCGTCGTTTTTTCTTTGCACGAAGGCAGGCAGGCGTTTTTCTTTTCGTTGCTCCCCTGACGTTTTTTTTCTCGATGGAAAGGACCTGAAGTGAGGTTCAATAAAGCAAATGCCAAGATCAACCATGGCCACAGGGTCCACCAGCCTGAGAGCATTGTGGTTGCCAAGTGGTTTTGTCACACCATACAGCATGAGCAGGAACACAAATCTGACAGTATCTGCAGTACAGCGTACAAGACCGTACAGACGAATCGAGAGCGGCCAAGAAGCTTACGAGAGAGTAAGTCACTTGTGAGTTCCGCGTGTCTTGAGTTGTTGAGTTGTCTGAGTTGTCCGAGTTGTCATCTGTAAACTGAAGAATGTTCTACACAAGTTCTCTCTAGCAAACAGATCCAGGCGCTGGGCGTTCTGGGTCGGCTACAGCATCACCGTGGCTTGAAGCTCTCAGAGGCAAGCCTCAGCATGCCAAAGACCGGATGTCACACGATCGTTTTGTCAAGAGTACGATTCTCGAGAGCTTCTGATCTGTCTTTAATCTCTTTGAGTCTTTGAGCAGAGGCCGAACTTGAAAGTTTCGCGAAGCCGTTGTTGCAGCGTGCGTTGCGATGGCACTGCCCCACTGACGATGAGGCGGCCGAGGCCATTTCCGAAAGGTAAAGCTCCGGGGTTCCGAGCGCAATGTCCTCAACGATCCAAGTTTGGCAGGAACTGGCTTCATTAAGGACCCATTTGAGTCAATGCTTCAATGTTTGGTAGCTCTTCTGGCAGGCATGTCTGCAATGTTTGAAAGGAGGTCTTCAACTGGACCGAAGATGGCTTCGGACCGATCTCCCTTGCTCGGTCCTGACTTTGGGAAAGTACTGGCAGTAGTGCTCACCGTGTTGGACTAAGGTCTTTGCTTGCGACTGAGCTGATTCCGCAGTGGCTGGAGGAGCTTCGGACCTTCATTACCTGCATGATCTTGATGCCCAGTTCACCCACTTCAAGAGTTCGTGCCCCAAAAGTTGAGGAAGCAACGGAAGCAACGCAGACTCCGAGAGAAGACCGGTGCCGATCTCAGGGTCTCAGGGGAGCTTCCAGTTGCGGATGGCTTCGGAAAAGGGGCGCGATCTTCATCTGAGAGTGCTCTCCTATGGCTGTTACAGGGCCCTTTTGATTGCTGGGGGGGGGGCAAGCAAAAGCTTCTCCTGCTCTGGTAGTTCTCTTTAAAAGCTTCATGTTGGTGCCCTCCTGAGGCTCAGGATGGCTGCTGACTCCTGGTCTCTGGTGGACCAGGCGCGACATTTTCTGTCGGCCTCAGCTCCCTGGCACATGTGGCCGTAGCTGCCCCTGATGGCTTGAAAAGCTTGAAAAACTGGAGCTCCCTTGGCTAGATTGTGAAGTGCTTTCATTTGCGCTGCTGGAGTGGCCATTGCCCTTAGGTGGGGCCGGAGTCACAACCTCCATAGCTCTGCCAGGGCGGATCGGTGGACGTGGAGGGGACTGTGCTGATGCTGTCCGCTCTTTGCCAGCAATTCTCATTTTCAAGCTTCCGTTTCCTTTTTTGCTGTTGGAGGTATTCGGCTTCGTAGTGTCCTCAGGTGTTTGTGGAAATCTGCGACGAAAGTCGCCTTCGACAAACCTTGGACACATTGCTTGATGCAGGCGCCGAGAACTCAGAGTGAAGCTGTCGCTTCGCAGGGTTGCAAGACGTCGCATTAGTCGCTGCAATCCGGTGACGTGTGCGGACGTGTGCGGACGTGTGCAAACGTGTGCAAACGTGTGCTAGGTGGACCTTCGCCTTGCCTTGCAGCCGGCCTTTCTCCGACGATTGGAGGTGGAAGAATCCTGTAGCATCCTACCATGTCCGTGTGACCATGTCCGTGTGTGACGTCCGTGTGCCCCCTCGGTGTTTCTGCCGCGTCCGTGTTTGGGGTTTCCATGCCTGCGGGCCAGGATTTGGGGCTTGTTCAACAAAGCCCGCCGAACCGCTCCTTGGATCAAGCTCAGCCGCTTCCCGCCGCTTCCCCTATTAGCCCACGAGACATCCGAGGGTTAGCGGACCTTGTTCAACATGCTGCTTGCCTGGCCACACGCGGCGAGGTGCAAAGGGGAGTTGGTTGACATATGTTCTGTGTGGTTTTGTTCTTTTGAGCAGTATGCGCGTTTTCAGTGCCCCCTTTTGCACCGTTGTATCAGGCTGGCGGAGTCTTCTTTCGCCGACATGGTGCTTTGCTGCTTGATAGGGGCAGAGGCCATGGCATCAGTTTGCTGTTTCGGAGTTCGAAGTTGAGTATGCGGAGAAAATGCTGTAGCATGTCGTGCGTGGGCTACAGCATTAACGTCCTGACCAAGAACTTTCAACAGGGGTCATTTTGCAAAAGCATATGCGACTTGCTCGAGGTGAGCCGCAAATCCTGGCAAGGGGCTTCAACCACTTTGCCTTGCCACTTGGACCACGTGGCCCTGATCCGCAGTGCCGACCTTGGAAGCACGGAGGACCCCGCCTCATACTGGTCCCCAATAGTCCCCGTGCTCATGAGAAGGCGAGAGGGGGAGAGATGGAGAGCGCGAAGAGCACAGAGACAGGGGCTAAAAACAAGAACGGAGAAAGATGCGTTTGTGAAAGAGAGTGTGTAAGAAAGATAGCGTGGAGGGAGAAGGGCCTTTTGGGCTCAAGATTGTCGGCTGGGGGCGTTTGGCGTATGAATCGCAGCTATGAGGATTGTGAAGTGCAGGGGCATCTTACACCGAACAGGGTGAGCCTGCTCCTAGCCATCTGACATGAATCTGATAATCTTGCAGACATGGCAAGCATGAAGAGTAGCCTGAAGCTTTTGATCCGTACCAGACAGTGAGCAAGAAGCATTGAAGTGCGGCACGGCGATTGCTGCCGATCTTTCGCGGTCAACACAGTAAGGAAGCTGTTCATCACGGCAGCCAGCAGAACATGGCCGTGCCAAAAGAAGACTCGGCTGTTTGTACTGCCTTTCAACGCGCTGCAGAGGGTGAAGAAGCCGAGAGAAGCAGAGACAGGCACCAACCTAGGGGAGGTTGCAGTCGAGGGAGGCGGCTGTCGAATCGACTTGATGGGCTTCACATGTCTCCTGGTTGGTGGCCAGCCGCGAAATTTTGACGACGACTAGAAAACGTGGAATGCGGGGAAGTCTCCGCGGCAAGACCATAATTTGCCGGAAAGGCTTACTCTTTTTGCTGAAATCACTCATGGCCGCCTGCGGGCGAGCCTGGCCTAGTGATGGGGAAGTATGTGCCAAACCCTCATCTAGATAGCCTGCTTATGTACATAGGCCAGGCAACCCGAAGACATGCATTAGGCCAGGCAACCCGAAGACATGCATTAGGTCCGCTGAAAATTATGCCAAAGCTGCCAAAAGCACACTGCCTTGTTGTGCCATGAAGTTCCATGAAGTTCCATGAAGTTCCATGAAGTTCCATGCCCCAGCGGACGTGGCACTGATTCCTCGAACATCAAAGAGCGAAACGAGCGAGGGACACAGAGAATTAGAGTGGAGGGGACAACGGGGACAATGTCAAAAAGTCGGGGTGTTCTTGTGGCAAGGTCTGGCGGAAAGTGCCGGACTTTTGAAAGCTTTGAAGAGGACCAGCTGACATGTTGCCGCGTGTACTTTCTGGATGTGCTTATTGTGCTTGTTGTGGTGTCAGTCTACGAACTTATGGATCCCGCGGACAATGGTTTGAGGGGAAGCTGGGTGCAGTTCCCCTAACAAACAAGGGTGGCGTAACATTCCGTAGTCTGTATTCCCAACGAGTTTCCTTTCACAAAGTTTCAGCCCGTGTTCTCTTTGCTCCCTCGGTCCAGCCTGCGTTCTGTCTTTGCTCGCTCGGTCTTGTGCCGTTTTGTTTGGCACCCGAATTGGGACAACGCTTTGGTTAAGACTTGCGTGTCTGGGGACTGTTCACGTGTTTTTGATTCTAGTGTTGAGTTATTTCGCTTTCAGCCTTTGCAACGTCCGGGTATGGTCCGTCCCATGGAAAGTCATCCACATGTCGTGGCACTTTGCTCGCCTTAAGAGCCTGAGATGCGTCCCTTTTTCGGGTCGATTTCTTCGCATGTGAGCCTTCCCGGAATTGTTCGCAGGCACGTTCCGCAGGGCTTTCCTGGAAGCGAAGCAAACCTCGCACGGCACAGCGCCATGCCGAGGCCAGGGCGAATATCTCGCAATAGCACGACTGACTTGTGTGCATTTGCAATAGGTCACAATGTGGCGAAGTGTAGGTAAATTTTTCGTGAGCTTTGAGGTCCACTGCCTCTTGCAAGTGCCGGAACTGCTGTCCTTGTCATCACGCAAGGTCTGCGAACTTGTTCGGTTGTTTTTCATGGGAGCTTGAGCCACGCTGGTGAGGCTGAGATGCTGATAGTGGAATTGGCTGATATTGGGCCTGGCTTCAACTGGGCCGAACCCTGCTCAAGAGGATGTATGCAACTGCTGATGAAGTACGGAGTTCAGAAGGTGTTGTCCTCAGAAGAATGATATCTCGCTTACCTCGTCTTGATTCGCGCTTGCTGGGCAGAACCCACCCCAGGCCACCTGGACCGATGGCAGGGGCAGCATCACATCTCGCCCGCTGCGCCACGGACCCGGTGCTTCCTGCACAACGTCATGGAAGGCCAGAAATGCTACAGCTGCTACAGGCCACGAGTCAGACCTGGATGTTGCCGCAAAGACTTATGCTGGCACTTCCAGGCGCCTTGCTTGACGTCTGAATGACGGGACGAATGTGGTTATTTTCATGCCTCAGATTTAGCATTCGCGCATAGCCTATCATAGCCAATTCTCGTGCGGCCGCCTCCGACTACAGCCTACTCAGCCTTGGAAGTACGCGGAAGTACGCAGAGGTACATTAGAAGCACGGAGGGGGTACGAAGTTGGAAGGCCCACGTCCTGCAGCTTCCAGAATCTATAACCCAGAATTCCGTGAAAAGGGAGTCATCTTCTGCACACTAGCCGCCATTGCAAAGCTGGGGATTGATGCAAGGTTATCTTGCGACGCAATCTCAGAGCGAGCATGCCGAAATCTCAGAATGAGGAGAGTCCTTTCTGGCAGCATGCTTGGCTTTGGGGTGCAGTCCGTGGTTTCTTGCTTCGCAGCTTTTTGCACGCGGCCGTTTCTCAAGCTGTAGTAGTCTCGGGCCAGTTCAGTGGCAGACGCGGCGGATTGGTGCACAGCATGCCGTTCGAGACCGTCAACGAGCAGTGCCCTGATGTGCAGAATTGCGGGCACTGCAGCCAATGCTGTTTAGAACTAGGAAATGACAGGAGATGCCGGTGTGAATCGAAGATCAGTTGGTTACTGCAGAATGCACAAAGTGCAGTTAACGAAAAACACGGCTGTTTCGAGGTATGTCAGGCAGCGGAAAGTCTTAGTGTGTGAGCGTTGCCGACGACCGCAGCTTGTTTGCAACAACCTCTTCGGCCAATCTGCAGGTGTTCACAACACAAAACCGAAATGGTGACATGTGTGACCATATTGTTGCTGATGAGGATGGACGGCTCGGTTCAACACCGGGACGCCTACCAAACCGGTGGCAGCATTGCAGGCTCACTGGGTGGCTCTGTAGGTCCCAGGCTCAGTGCTGACACCATGTGATGCCATGCGTGATGCCCTATGACCCCGGACCTCGCCATGAGATCTATGTTTAGGCGGGTCCATGCTGGCTGGGGCGGTTCTCGGCCCCGTTGGTGCTCTCGCTGGAGCTATTGGTGGTGCCATTGCTGGCTCCCGTGCCGGTGCTGCGGCGAGTGAAGGACGGGCATGCTCCGCAAGCTTGCTTACGTATGCTTGCTTACGTATGCACGAGTGTGATGGTGATGGCTCCCATAGTGCCGTGCTCTCGGAACCTGACCCAGGCATTTGCGACGCGCCAGCCTTACAACACGTGGTTTCAGTCGTGCCTGCCATGTTATTGGATGCCAGTGGCTTCAGCGAAGCGGCCGAGGCAGTTGACTCCACTGGAACCCAAATCTGCAGTGCGTGCAAGGCCGGCCTTTTTGTTTGGAAGCATAGGATGTGGTATAGGAGTGTCGCAGGTATTCTCTGAGCAACCGAGGAAGCGGCCAATGTTCGGCAGATGGGCCACCAAAATTGGGGTGGTGGTCGGCTGGGAAGTGGTGATGAGCCCAACGCTCCTCTCCAGGCTTCGGAGCATTATTTTGAACAGTCCAGCAGGAGCGTGCGATTGCACGTTGTGTAAGATATAGGCAGATAAACTTCAGGCTTCATCGGGCCCGAGTGCCCCGAGTGCCCCGAGTGCCCCGAGTGCCTCGGCTGGCCTTGGAGAGCGCTTCGGCGAAGCAGCGACAGGTGCCGGAGCGAAGATTGGAGAGGCTTGGCCAGTTGCCAGTCGGCGAAAATTTTCTTTTCATGATTGCATTGCGCAATGTAGCCAGGGGTAGCGCAACTATGTGTAGCTGCTGTCAAGAGGCCGCCTCTGCCGTGGGTGAGAGTCTGAGCGGCGTCGGCAGTTGGATGAGGACCTTTGCGTGTCGAATTCGGAATTCTTCTTGCACCTAAGAGCTCGCGAGGAAGTCAGTGGGCTCCATCACTGGTGGCGAAGAGCCCGCAAAACCGAAACCTGCTGGCAAGGACGAGGTCTTGGGTGTAGGGAACGAAAGTCTTGCGGATTCATGGGCTCATGGCATGGAAATGGAGCAGGCGTTCCGAAGCTTCGAGGGCCCTGGCCAAGCTTTGGGCAGCGTGCATGCCGTAGATGCTGAGCAACGGCGCGCCGCGAGGGCGGCGGCAGCAGAGGCGGCCATGAGAAGAGCTGGGCAGGCAGGAATGGAAGGGCAAAAGAGTCGTCAACGCAACGAACAGATCGACCAACTTGGCCAGGGGTCCGCCGGGTATGCCCCTACAGCAGACACTGGAGCAGCCGCTGCGAGAACGCAGGTTCAATGTCTGGAAGATGTGGAGTTTCTTGGGTTCGTTTTGAGCATCAGCAGTTTTCCAGCCCAGGTCGATGACGACGAGGCGTTGGCGCGGCGACTCCAGGAACAGCTTCCCAACTGCGATTGAGCGCTGGATTAAGACAGGAGACCTTACAATGTTTCACTTATTTTCAATTTGTTCCTCAAGAATACTGGATGTGCTGATCTTAGGTTTGATCTGGAGGAGCGAGATGGGCGATAGTGGGCACAAGCAGTGGCACGGTGCTGACAGGGTTTCGGGTGCATCGTTTGTCACCAGAGGCGCGGGCTCCTTGATGGCCATAAGTGCTGTCTGGTTTCGTGCGGCGCAGTGCGCATGCGCACGCCCACTTTCTGCCTTCAATACTCCTGCAGTCCGGGCCTCCCATTTGGAAGCTCTCGGACTGTTGTTTTGCGATTGCTCTTAGTCAGCTCTAGAGAGAAGCAAGCATTTCGTCACGAAGCCGTACAGAGCATCTCAGCTGGCGACGCAGAACGGGTGGCGCGTGTATGTCTTTTGACCCAGTCGGCATGCCATGCTACTTCATGTGACTTGCTGTACGCTTGTGCATGCTTGCGCTCGCTTTTGGTTTAAGAATTTCGGTCAAAGCCCACATGTGTCCACAGCATGCTTCACAAGATAACCAACACGCTGGAGCTTTCGTAGCGCGATGTAGCACGTCTTTCCTGCTATCCATGCCGGTAGACCTTGACCTCATGCATTGCTGTGGCTTGGTACTTGATGCATGTGTTGGCCTGCAAACGGTCTCTTCAAAAGAAGTTCGAGAAGCGCATTGAACCCAAGGCAAGGAATGCTACATGCCACTGCTCGGCGGCCACCGCCTAAACTCTGCGACTTCAACTTTGTAGTCCCCGTAAACCCCGTCGTCACTGAATTCGATCTGGTCGGTGACCGGTGTCCCAGGTGTGTGCGAATACGACCCTGAGCACACTCCGCTGCCAGTGGATCTGAGCGATCCCGCGCTGCCGAAGTGGTTTGGGAGGTGGCTGCAGAATTATCACCGCCGCCGGGTCTTGCGCTCTCGGCTGTGGGGGCCACTGCCGCCCATCTTACAGTCTGATCTACAGGATCCGCTCACGTTACCGGTGAGTTTCGAGGACCAACGCAGCAAGGAGCGCAGTGTGGGCCCGCTATGTCCGCAATGCTGGATGCCACTGGAGAGAGTTGGGGAACAAAGCTGTGGCACCTGCCCGCTTGACCCCATGCATGCCGTTTCGAAAGCCCTTCTGGCACAGTTCTCCCCCCGGCTAGTCACAGCAGCGGTTTTAAGTGATATGGCCCCAGCTTCTCCAAAGGATGAGATGCAGGAGGCCACAGTGGCCAAACCGCCACCACAAAAGGCGTCCACAGCGCGCGCAGCGCCCGCAGCGCCCGCACTGCCCGCGCCGATTCCCTCACCGGGTGACTGGGTCAAAGGCCTCGACTTGCCGAGCACGCTCTCGGCATGGCTTCGGGACATCGACAGCCAAGGCTTCCTGAGCACATACCAGGCGCTTTGCCATGCTTTGCGGGGAGCAGCGCCTGGTTTTGTTTTGTGGGACACATGTGAACTCAAGAGCTCGGCCTTTTCCCAATCTGAAGGAGATCATGGCAGCGCACTTCGACTCCCCGCAGCAGCTCTTGGACGTGCATCTTGACAAATTTTGACGGGCTCGGGCCGCTATAAGGGGGGCCGCTAGGGCCATCAGGAAGGACATTCCATGACTGGAACTCTTGCATATCATCCCAGGTACCTGGTCCATGGACCTGATCAGAAACTGTGCTTTGACTCCGCATTCTTCCTGCAAATGGTGCCCGCCTGAGAATTCTGATTGTCTTGTCTTGTGGTCTTGGAGATTGTGGCTGCGTGGGCACAACATCTGCACACTGTGCTAAGATGGGCTAAGGGAGTCCGCAAGTTGGGCCACCGTCGGCTGTTTGAGAGGTGGCTGGCGCACAAAGCTGTGCAGCTGATGGGCGATGGCGGTAGCCAAAAACCTGTTGTGCGTGCTTCTGCGGTCACGCTGAGATCTTGGTTGGTCATGCCGTGTTGGCTACGGGCACCCAAGGCGTTGACATTGACGAGAAACTGCAGCAAGAGGGGAAGGGCCAGAGCCACGGTTCTTCTTCGTAGTTTTGTAGCTGCTTCTTGCGGAAGTCGTGCATGATCGTGCATGTCAGACAGCAGACCAGAGAGGGGTGCTTCGCAGGCTTTCAGGTTGGTTCTTGCAAAAACTGGGCATAAAGCTCTTCCATGCGCATCCATGCACTGCAGGCCTGCCTCCTTTGGGATTGGAAGAGCTTGTGGAGCAGGTGCGGCATGCGGCATGGAGTGACAAAACGTCAGCTCTAGTGGCGCATGAACTGCACTTGCTACCCATCGCTACCCATCGCTACTCTTGAATCGGCGTTCCGAAAAGAATCAGTGTTGGTTTGTTGGGTTTGCCGCTTAAGCAGGTGCTGTGTTGATGCATTGCAGTACATTGCACCTTGGTTTCTGAAGACAGGGTGCCCAGGCAGCTGAAGAAGCTCGGAGGCTGGTTGCAACAGAGAGAAAGCTTGAATGTGCTTGGAGTTGCTTGGAGTTGCTGAGGCCGCTGGCCGGGGGGGGGGGGGAGCGTCTCGAGTTTGGTCCAGGCGAGAGCCGCTACGACTCCGCGGGCAAGTGTTCCCACTGCCACCCCGCAAGCGCAACACCGAGTACTCAGCCTCACTGCGCCAGAAAGCTGCGAAAAGAATCCTTGAAACGTTTGGGTTGGATGATTGGCATCGATTGGCATAGATCGGGATCTGTTCCATCTTGGAAGGAATCAATGATGCAGCAAGCGGTCATGGAGCTTCTCGGCTCCCAGCTTGCAAAACTAACCATTCAACTTAGAGCGGACCGCTCGCAGACTTTGGAGGGGTCTTGCATCTAGGCAACTCCTAGGCTTTAGGTGCGCAAACCGCGAAGACCACCATTCAATGGCGTGGTGCACCGTGGTGCTAGAGTCCGCTAGAGGCCAATGGCCTAGCAGATGCCATGAATGCCACGCGTGTGCGCCATTTGGAGAGACTCGACGGGTATGAGGGTTAGGTCCAATCATTCCCAGCCCTGAATTAGCCCTAATGTCTGCAACGTGCCACTTTCTTCTAAGCCACTTGTGTTCTGATTGTCACCAGGGTTCGTTGAGAAGGGGGAGGATGGACTGTGTCCTTTTCCCCTGCAAGTGGATAGATTGTCCATAGCGCCCTGGATGTCGTCCTTACCCGCGACGAGTGGCAAGTGTGGTAGGCGAAGTGTTTCGATTTGTGATGCGATGCATATGTACGTGTCCTGTGCTGTTTCTCGGTTGATGAGGTACGGGTGAAATGGACATGTATTGTTTTGAGTGGATCGTGGTGATTTGGCATGCGGTGTCGTCATGTGACCTCTAGGGGCTCTAGAGGCCATGTGTCGGATTGTGATTGATGACTTGTCATGTTGGCATTGGTGAACTCATATGTAGGGCGAGTTGTGATGTGGAACGAGATGACGTGGCACATGAGAGTGAGGCAATCTGCTTCAACGGTGTTTCGTGATTCCGCATGACGACGTTTGAAAAGGCGTCTTCGTGATTACCCAAAGTGTGCACCGAAAGGCCACCAGCACCAAACGTTAAGCATCCGGCGGAAAACTCCAGCCGAAACCTGCGCAGCCACAATTTGCAGCAGCCACAATGACCTCCCACGCCTCCATGGTCCTTCAACAAACACATTGGCCATACGTCGGCAAAGAATTGATAAGAGTCAGTTGAGTGGCACTAGGCACTGGCCGCAGCAATTTTTAGCTGAAGCCGGAAGATGTGCGTCTCAGCCTCAGCTTTGTTGTGTATGGCGTGGCTCAGGAATGCGCTCAATCTTTTCGACAAAACGCGCAGGCAGGATCCCGAGGCATGCCAGTGCGCGAGTGAGTGCAATCGGCTTCAGGTGGAGCTCAGAGAGCTCCGAGAGATCAGAGAGCTGAGAGATCTCAGAGAGCTGAGCTGAGGACAGAGGCACCTGCCTTGCCTTTGGACTTGTTCTTACGGCGATACTTCCAGGCATGCTGGGCTGCTGTTGGGACTAGTCGACTCGATGGAGTTGCTGCGGAAGTGACAGCAGGGATAAATTTTGGGAAATAGGTAAATCCGACATGTGACGATCAGGCACACAAGTTTCTGGACGATAAAGATCGCGCGTGGACCGCCCAGCTCCGCAGAACGAGTTTGTTCTGGTTAATTCGCAGGTACGGCACAGGCACTTTTTTGTCTTGCAGACAATGAAGCAGGTGGATTGCAGACAAAACCTACGAGATGCAGAGGCAGAGCTCAGAGCGAAAGCCTTGTACATCGAAGGTTGTTTGTCGGAATGGGATATAATGTATATTTATCTATATATATATATATATAAGTCTGCACTAAATGTGCTTAGCAAGGCATCATTACGGCACTTCGTCACGCATAATGGTTTCCGTTTCATGTGGACGTCCTGTGTGGGTGCTGAATAGGTGGCGAGGCCTCATTGACCACTTGACCCCGCAACCCCACAACTGGGTGTGGCTCCAAGCTCCGCAGCTCAATTGCTCAATTTGCGGATTCGAAACGGTTAGACCAGGAGTCGGTCAGAGTCAGCATTTGGCACAGAGTCAAACATCATTGTGCACGAAAGTTGGTGGAGAACTTGCCTGCAGCCACTGGCTACAAAGCAGCTAGCAAGCGCATGGAAGAACATGTCAGCATCCAAGTTCGTTGGCTCGAACCCCGCGCGCTTCAACGCAACAGCTCCCTACATTTGCCTTGAATCCAGCAACAAGATCATGAAGGTCATGGGCATGAGCAAAAGTCTACACCGGCGGGCGAAATAAGACGCGGTCCGCTCATGTCTCCGCCCTTCGACGCTTCCCTTGTCACGCCGAGGGCGGTGGAGGACGCTCTTTGATGGCGCAACATCCATTCAACTGCGTATTTTGTGCAGTTGAAACAGATGAAATCACAGGAGGCCTACGCTCGCCTGACTCTTTGCATGCACTATTTAGTTCCTGCTCTGTGGCGGCCGACGTGGGCGTGCAGTCAGGCAGAATCACCGGTTCGACTGGATCAGCTCAGGCAACTGCACGTCCACCGAACGCTGCTAGTCAGCTATTTGGGTCATTTGACGAATGCTAGTCAGCTATTCGGGTCATTTGACGAAAGCGTTGTTTTGTATAATGTTTGTTCAACCATACCCTCTCTTCCCGCACAGTGCTTGCTGCTGGAAGCTGGCAGACTTGTATGTGGACTTGAGTTCACGCTGTGATTTGTGCATTTGGCGTGTGTGCCCGAGGCGAGTTTTTACTTGTGAGCAGCTGGATCATCGAGCCACGAGTTCAAGTGGTGCTCCGCGCAAGCTTTTCTTGAAGGTGCCCTTGGCCTTGCTGACTATTCTGGAGGGTTGGCACAGACCAGCGCAGCTGGCCCTGCAAAGGCCGAGCATGAGCAAAAGACGGGCTCCTTCAAGATCCGTGGTGCCATCGATGCGATCTGCTGCTAGATTGAAGACATAGGAGTGCCGAGCACATCATGAGCCGTTCTGACTTTGTGGCTTGTGACCACTTGTGGTCCAGGTTTGTCATCTGCGGCTGCTCAGCTGGAATGGCTAGGACAGCGTTTTGAGTGGCGTAGGACTAGCATTTTCGATTCTATTCAGCTTCACAAAAACGAAGGATGTCCGTTTCAACATAGGGTCAGGTCATAGGGAGCATGGGCGTTAAGAGACAACAGACTGATGATTGGTCCCAATAATGAGGCATTAGCTCTTCATTCTGATGACTGCTCTTGTCCTTGAGTCGTTTTCTGCTGTGTGCACTTCGTTGTGGGTTGTGACTTGCCAAAGTGTGTAGGAACAGAATCAAGGAAAATTCAAGCATTCGATGCATGACCGGTGCTGCAAGGAGTACATCGTTACACAATCCAGTGGCAACCATGCGCAGGCTGGACCTGGATTGCTTGTCCTAAGCGCAGCCCCAGCAGTGATGGCGTCCAACCAAGGCGATAGCCTTGGGTTGCAAGCTACTGGGCAAGAAGGCGCAACAACTGTTCGTTGTGAGACTTGCGTTGACGCGCTTTATGGAGAGGCCATCGTGGTCATGCCGGAGGATTCCCCCAGTGTAAAAGTCAGCGCCGTCCGAGACACCTACGGTGCCGAGGCATTTTTCCCCTCGCAAATTGTGCTTCGGGATTGGTTGTGTACTGTGGGTTCGTGCAGGTCAGGTTCTGCAAAGCTACGCAAGAGGCGCGAGAGGTCGGCCACGAATTGCCCATCAACGGTGCCTCATAGAGTGCAGTGCCAGCGCCAAGTCTGGAAGGCGATGTCAGCTGAAATTGTAGCCGATCTTCGTCAGAAGTATGGGTCAGAGAAAGCTGAAGAGATCCACCCAAACCAGGACGACTGCTGGATGTGTGAGTGCAGCGCATGTGGTATGAAGATGTACGCGCAGAACCTCACGCCAGATTCAGCCCATATTAGCCCCTCATGCTTATCTCTCATCGCACCAGGTTTTCATGTCTTGGTGCAGACATGGAACCGGCCGGGTCAACAAGCAGAGTGGCTCTGACATTTTTTATGGTGGAAGTAGCTGAGCATTTCGTCGGCTTTGAGCATCACATAGCATCACGCTGTGGTTTTAATCTTCTGGAACCATATTTCGCAGATCAAGCTCGACCAAGCTGCTTCGCAGGACATTCGAGTGGTCAATGGTCAGGGCTCGATTGGTCTGGAGCTTCTACAGCAACAGCCTGACTTGGATGCCATCGTTGCGCCGGCCCCAGACCTTGGATGTCGGACGGAGCTTCTTCACCATATATTGGCAATTCGCCATAATTTGCCCCTTAAAGTAATGTCTGTGTGGAGATGTGTGAGCTTGCGCGAGTCCGTAGCACACGAGGTGTCCATCGGCGGCGGCGGCTTGATTTCCGGCATCGCTACGTATGTGTATGACTTAGGTTCCAGGACGTCCTGTGGCATGAGCCGGCTTTTCTGAGCCCTGGAAGCCTTGTATCTACAAGGTCAAGCACGTGAACAAAAACATAAAAGTTATTGGAGCGGAGCCTGAGCGCGCCAGAAGCGTTCCTCATCAGCAATTTGGACAGCGAAATCGAGTGGCAAATCAAACTGGGGGAGCTCTTCGTCTCTCAATAGCCAAGGCCTTCATGTCAAAGCAGGCTGGAAAGCTGGTGCTTTGGCTCCAGTTCATTGTGCGCCGTGCTGGTAGTATGTGTAGCGGTGGGTCCGGGGCCAGCTAGGCTGCGCTGCAAGGTGAAGAACCCCCCAAACAGCATCATTGACACCATTGCCGACTCCGTCAAGAGCAGCCTCGGCCCCACGACGTACCCGGTGGTCAAGGTGGAGCAGCTTCTTTTGAGGCAGTCTCTGATGTGCAAAAAGGGTTGAATCATGTTGAATCTGCCAGGATCTGGTGGACGATGTCTTTACCGTCACAGAAGAGGAGATCGAAGCTGCAACCAAATTCACCATGGAGCGAGCGAAGCAGGTGTGGGTCCGGGTGTTCAGGCAATCTGCCAGCAGCTGCTTCGCAACAAGCACAGAAATCAGCTGCTGATCTCAGGGCCTCATAAACAAACTACTTGTATCTACCGCTGCAGTTATCTTTCTTGTACCTACTTCTTGATTGCACTGCTGGCACTTCGAGCTAGCACATCTTGAATCCTGCAGGTCGTTGAACCGGGATGTGGCGTGGCGGTCGCCGTGGCGACCTCCAAGCAGCTGTATGATCGGTTGCCTGGCGTTTGCAGCACGTAAGAGCACAGTGCAATTAGCGGGAAGCCGACTTCATGCATTTCATCTTCAGTGAGGCATCCTGAGTTAAAGAACATTGGTGTGGTGCTGTGTGGCGGTGGCTCGACTGGTGGTGGCGATTTAGGGATGACGATGGGAATATGTTTTTCAATCAGTTCGAGAGTGACTGCAGTGGTCTCAGATCTCGAGGCAACGTTGATTTGGACAATCTGCCTTGGCTGCGGAAGTGAGAGGACCATGCAGAGTGCAACACCAAAAAACAGGTCTCCAGCGCAAGAATCATGTTGAACCCAGATAGCAGTGCCAAGCTGCCGCCACTTCACATGCATGCTTTCCGGACAATGTCAAATGTAGGTGACGGTGGTGTATGGTGTTGTTGCTCCTGTGGTTGTGCGATGCTTTCGTTTGTGCGGCGGCTTTCAGGTCAATCGAATGCGCCTGGCTCCCAGCAACACGACTCCTCCACTTGTGGTTTGGATGTTGAGGCCACAGACAAATACTCAGAGTGAGACAGGCGAGTTTCAATGTCACAAGGCACGTTTTTCATGGGCGACCGATGGCGAGCGCAGCCACGAGCTCAAAGCTGGCAGATTTTTTTTTGTGTCGGGTGCTGTCCTGCTCGTTGTCATGAACCGAGGTCCCAAAACAAGAAGCTTCCTCATCATGTACGGTGCTCTTTTCCGTCCACACGCTCAGTACGATATGTGGCAGGTGTTTTGTGAAGTCTTCTGCTCTAGGGATAGGAAAAGTTGGAAACAGTTTGGACAAGAGCCACGTGCTACTCTCTATCATTGTGAACACTGAGCAATCCATGCTTGTAAACTCCAGGAGGTGCAGTTCTGGAAGCCTGACATGAAAGCCCTGAGGTCCGAGCTGTTTAAGCGATTGGAGGACAACGTCGGCACAAAGGCCAGAACGGCACATTTTCCACTTCACTCAAGCATGAATATCCAAGATCAGATGCCGAGATTTCGACGATCTTCCCTGAACCGCCGTGCACCGTGTGACAGGTGGCTGTCGAACTCTGTGAGATCCTGAATGAACCTGTGGCCAGCTCATTGGGATCATAGGGAGTCGAATGAGTCTTGCAAAAGGGCTTGAAACGGTGTTTTTGCGCGATGCCCCAACTTCCCCTTCTGTTGGTCCATCCGATGTCCGTGCAAAGTTTACAGCACGTGAGTTGCATGGTGTGGTGATTCACTCACTTGGCATGATCAAGGCCATGACCTTTCTGCGTGTCAATACAGCGCGGATTTCCAGGGACAAGGCCTTGCGGAGAGTGGGCACGTTTACCCTTTTTCAGACGTTAAGAAGTTAAGAAGATGGCAGGAGGTTGAACTTGGACACTGCACCAGGTTTTCACCTTCCTCAGCAGCAGGTCTGTCCCAGTTGAGAAGACGAGAAACTGGCTAGTTTGGTGCACATGATGATCCGATCTATTTCCGCTGGTTCTGTGACTTGGTTTGTGCATTTGCCAGGCAGAACTCGCAAATGGGTTTGCTTTTGACCTCGAAGCCCTGCACTCGAAGTCTCCAGCGAGCTTCAGCGCTTTTTTTCATGCAGAGCAGCCCATCTAGCCCCAGAAGTTTCATTGAGGCAAAATCTGCTCGAAGTCCCGGAATACAAGCTGGGGTTCCACCACCGCATTGCTTTTTGCGGAGACTCAGGAAGTGCTTTCTTTCGTTGTTTCCGAAGAGCTGCCAGAAACGCTGGGTGCCGCGCAGCTATCTGGGCTTGCAGTGAGACCACCGTTCTTGAGATTCCTTAGACGTAGTAAGCCAGCATCAGTAGGAAAACGAGTTCTCTCTTCTTCAGGCTTAGAATCTGCCGAAGCAACTTTTGCATCTTTCGTTGCCTCAATGGGCGACGAGCCCTGGGGCAATGTCTACCAGCAGAGATGGGCCAAGAGGGAAGAACAGTCGGAGGCGCCAAGATGTGCATCGTGGAGTCACGCAAAGATGCCATCACCACTTGCTGGGTCGAGTTGCGTAAAGCCGATGCTGGTCAGGCGGTCGCTTTGTGCTCACGAAGATGCTGGGAAGTGGGTCCTTTGGCCAGCTGCGTGGTGGCAGTGCAGGGCAACCATGCAACCTGCATGGCAAGGCTTTGGCTCACTTTTCCAGGAGATATGTGCCAACATTACATCCCCCAGGATTTACATCGCCAAAGACTCGGAGCAGTGCGATCGGGAGGTGGCCCTCAAGCTTGAGGTCAAGGACAAATTATGACATAGAACTGCCGAGCGATAAGCTGCACATCCCGTCTGCATACCAAGCTTCTTGTACCTCGCTAGGTGTGTTGTGCCTGCCATACTGTCCCCTGTGTGCGCAGTGACGAAGTAGTGTCTTTCACCGGCGTGTTGCTTTGTGCTTCGGGAGTGTGAGCACCAGGTCGGAGGAATTCATTGGGGCAGTGCATTCCCACCCTTACCATGCATGAGTGTGCAATGTGCCCGAGCAGCACGAAGTCTAGGATCACAGACCGTGAAGGCCTGCGAGTTGCTCTCGCAGATGTCACCTCAGGTTAAGACGTTCAAGCTTTCTGCCGCCCGTAAGCTGCTAAGACCCAATGTGGCCCGTAGGCAACACTCAGTTCTTTGCATGGCTTTCCTTAGGTTTTGGAAACGACACGATGGTCCAATCATTGCTCGTGGCCTGGGTAAGTGTCCTCGGCAGGACACAAAGCACCCACAGCTGATTTACGAGGCCTCGTGAACAATCAGCACCCAGTAGGTCATGGTTATACACCATGTCATCGCTATGCTGCCGCAAAGCCGTGTTTAGCAGGCAAAGCTGCTCAAGTTGCTGCAGGGGTCGCCCGGTGTCGCAGAGGCACTGCGAAGAATCGTCGGCAAATAGGAAGGGGTATGCACTTGTGGCCTGTCTGTGGTCCTATACATATGCTGCGCCAGTCTCATGTAAGCATGCCATTTGGCCGTCTTCTATTCACATGCTTCATGGCGGAGTGTTCTCGGCAGATTTTCTTCTTCGGATTTGAAGAGGACTTCGCGGTCTGCGGCTCAAATGCAGTTCCGAGAGCGTCTGCTGGCATCCTGCTGTCTGAGCTTGAGCCCCAGTGTTGCATTCTTACGATAGCATCGAGGTCATGGCCATGGAGCTGATGGGACCCTCACTGGAAGATGTCTTCAACCTTTGCAAGCGCAAGCTGTCTCTCAAGGCGTGAACGGCTTGAATACAGAAGTATACAGACGTTCTGCACATGAAGCTCTTCCAAGCCTCATGAAACCTTGACGTGAAAGCCGTCTGCAGTCGACCCTTATGCTGGCTGACCAGCTGCTTCTTCGGAAACCTGGCCTCCTGTTGGACCCTGTTTGGTCCGAGGTGATGCTGAAAAACAGTAGCAAATTCCTTTTATCCTAGGTGCTAAGCACAGCTTTAACAGCACAAGCAGTGAATCCATCTTTCTTTCGAACTTAAGTTTTTAAGTAAGGATTGAGCATTTCCACCGACGCCACTACATCCACCGGGACATCAAACCGGTGCGGGCCTGACTCGCGCTGTTTTTTCAGTCAGAAAGAGAGCAGACAGAGAGAGGGAGGAAGCGAGAGTGAGTGAGAGAGAGAGAGAGAGAGCGAGAGATTTTTTTGCCTTTTGGAGTGTTTGGATGCATGTCTCTGTGTTTGTCTTCGCCATCGTGGATCGTTCCGTTCCGAGCTGCAAGTCTGCCATGCAGGACAATTTTTTGATTGGCCGCGGGCAGAAGTCAAACCTCGTCTGGCGCTGATTTCTGATGCTTTGAGATCGAGGATCGGAGTTTGTCTTGACCCCGCCTTGAGGTGTACATAATTGACTTCGGATTGGCTAAGAAGTACAGGAACCCGGAGACTCTGGTCCATGGGCCGGGTGCACGGTGTTGCACTGGTGTTCCACCGGTGTTTCACGAGTGGTTCACGAGGTGTTGCACAGGTTTTGCTTCGCAAAGGTCCCGTGTTGCAGAAGCCCTTTCTCGGGAAGGGGAAAGTGTCCGCCCAGGCCGTATCGGGAAAACAAGAACTTGACAGGCACGGCTCGCTATGCTTCGTTGAAGCTCGGCGAGGAGAGCTGATATCACTTCTCTGTTCATTCTTCTTTGCGGAAACACAGGGGTCGAAGGCACATGAAGGCACGCGACAGCACACGAAGGCCCACACATCACCGCCAGGGACTGGTCTCAGGGGGGGCGCATGCAAGACTCCAAAGCGGGGGCTGTGCCTTCGAATTGAGTTCTGTGATTCAGGAACGCGCACCTGGGCATTGAGCAGAGCCGCCGTGACGATTTAGAAGCCATCGGCTTTGCTTGAGCCTTGAAGCGCGCCAGACGGGATAGCCGCTCACACTTTGCCCCCACTTTGCCCCCACCTCCACAAAACAATTGCCCAGGTGTTGGTCTACTTCCTCAAGGGCTCCTTGCCTTGGTCGTGGCCCAAGTGGGTCAATCGGCCCTCGCTTCAGTCGGGATTTGCAGGGATTTGAAGCTCTACGCAGCTCAGGCAAGGCATCAAGGCTGAGGGCAAGCATGACAAGCAGCTGTGTGGCAGATGGTGGCAGTGTTTCGTGCTCTCGTTTTCGGGTGTGTTCGAACAAGTTCGCTCTGCCGGCACAACATCGGCACGAAGTCTTTTGACATGCTGTCTGGCTCACTGGAACAAGGTATGCTGCGATCATGGAGATGAAAATTAAAATGACTTTTGCAGAGCTATGCCAAGGCCTGCCGGAGGAGCCCGGTGCGCAGCAGAAAAGGGTTGAGTCATTAGCTTTCCCTGCCGTCTTGCGGAGGAGTTTGCGACTTTCCTCAGCTACGCTGCTTACTGGCAGAAAATCGCCATGCAATCGACAGTTTCCTTGATGTTCGGGTTCTCAATTGTTCAAGGCCCGACTCCTGGCGTTTGACGAAGATCCTGACTATCGCTTGGCTCCCAAGAGGTGGAGTCGTAGAGGGACTGTCAAGGTGATCTGTAGCTCCCCAGCTCTGGGAGCCGCATAGGGTCTGCATGGTTTTGTGAGAATCATCTCCGGTCGCCTGCAGGGTTAGATTCGTATTGGATACACGGAGTACAGTGTGCCAAGCCCAGTGCTAGCAAAGAATAAGTTGAGGACGAGCTGGTGAGCTGGGGGCTAGGAGAAGTCGGAGGGACGACATGAAGAGCAGGCATGCTGCAGCCCATCGGGATGTTGTTGTAATATCCTCGGCAAAAAAGCTCATGAGATCTTCCAAGTGTTGCTGAAGAATCCCTCGGGTCCTTCGCCAAGGATACATGCGCTGGCTCTTCAAAAGCCTATACCATCGCGCAAGCCTTGGGAGACTGGGACCACATTCCGTGCTTAGAAGGTTCTGCGCGCCCAGGTGAGGGCTTTCGCAATGATGGCTGCTTCGACTGGAATGTCGTTAGAGCCCGGCCTCCATCGGAGGTGGCAGAGCGTCGTGAGGCGGCTTTGGTGTAAGGTGTGTCCGGAAGATCCATTCCTTAACATTTTGCAGGGCTTGCGTTGCTTTCTCTTTGCTGGAGGTGTTGGGCTTCTCCACTGGGGGAAAGTGCAATCAACGGGTAGTGCGGCAAAACCGTCCTAAAGCCTTCCCAGTCCGAAATGAAGTGCTGCACCCCATCAGCAGTAAAAGCCCTGTTGTGTTTGAGTTGTCGTTTTCCCCTCCAGCCTCCAGTCTGCAGGCACGTCTTCGGAGAATGAGCGCGAGTTTGGCGGCAAGCCAGCCTTCAGATCGCTACCAGCTGGCAGAAAGTTGCGGTTTTGTGCGCAGTCCTTTCTGGAAAGAGGGCGGGTTTTTCTCTTATTTTTGTAATTTTTGCTGCCTGGGTCTGCGACTCCAGCCCGAATATATACCCCCTTTAGATCCCACCAGCTCTCAAGCCCTCTGCCTAAACCCAAACTTTGCCCGTAGAAGAGTATGTTTTATTGGAACTACGACGGGCCAAAAACGATTGAATGGCCCGTCATTAACATTGACCCGCGAAGACGCTACACATATAGTTTTCTTTCAGTAGGGCGCAAGAAAATCATCTAGTAAGCGCCAGTACATTTTTCTTGTAAGGCGGCATTCAAAGACTAAAGGTGCCGCCAGAATAGTGCCGTTGGCTTCATGTGTATTTTACTTCTCACGCCCGTGGAATATGAACATAGTAAGTTATATAGTTTTGTTTTGTGCTGCGGGCCAATTATAAAGGCCTGCAAAGTAATATCAATAGGGCGGTAATCTTATATAGCCGCCCGTAAAGTAATATCAATAGGGCGGTAATCTTATATTAGGTTTTACCTCTCGCGGCATCATAAATGGTCTTAATGAGCCGCGAAGAGAAAATATGTTTGTAAAGTTGTAAGGGTGCTAAGGGTGCAATAAAGGACCTCTTATAAGGGCACAATTATTCTTACTAAACGGCCTGTTGATACAAGTATAATGTCCTAACTCACGGGCCGTTATCATGTTGGTAGTGGTGTCTTCTCAACCTTCAGGCGGGAACCGAAGCTTCGGAAAGTGAATCACATGTCGTCCTCAAGGTGAACCACTTCCAAACAAGTACGAATCCCTCTAAGCGCATAATACGTGCGTTGATTTTTGCAATAGGTCTACGGTGTTGATGTTTTCCAAAAAGGAACAAAGCAATTCCCTTCCTGGCAGGGTCGTGGAATTCCTGTAAGTGATGGGCTTGGCTGAGCCTTAGCCATTAGGCATGTAATTCGTATTCGTCCCCTGTTCTTTCGGTGTGTCGTGGTTTCATGAAATGTACGATTTGGTTGGACTCGAGACGCATGTTTCGTTTGAACAATGTGTAGTTCAAGTAACACCAATAGCACCTCACAACAGAAAGGGATCCAACCAACCTAAGAACACAGGCACGTGTGCACTAAGGCTCCTGCCCACGCGGGCACAAAAAACCCGCATCTAATTACTTGAGTAGTCGTTTCTGAATATGCTTGTTTAATGTAAGGGGCAGGGGGTTGGAGGCAAGTATTCGGCATCTGGGTGACCCAGGTGGCGCGGAAGATGTCGTTCTCTCCTTCAGGTCAAGCAACTGAAGGCCATTAAGCATGCCGCCAGCCGAAGGCAGCATGGTAGTGGAAGTAGTTTGGTCTTCATATCATGGCATAATCAGCATGTCATTCGATCTCCGGCTTGCTTTTCAAGTGTTTTTCTCTTCGTGGCGTTCGCGTGAAGACGGTGCCCAAGCTCCGGAACTTCACCGTTTAGCTTTGCACCGGCGAATATCGTTGTGCAAGTGAGTGGTCTCACTGGAAGAAGACAAGTGGCTCAGGTGTCCAGAAAGGGGTCTCAGGTGTAGAGGCAAAGCAGGCCTGGCAGTCGCTTTGAGGATTCCTTGCAATGGCACCGGCAGGTATTTTGAGATCCAAGATGAGTCTTCGCAAATCATCTCTGCGCAGGTCCACCAGAGCACATGGTGATGCATCCTTTGCACAATCACTAAGAGACTAAGAGACTAAGTAAGAGGCTAAGTAAGAGACTAAAGTGTGCGACTCTTTGCCTCCAGCCAGTTTCGACTTTCGACACTCTGGTCTTTCGACAATTCAGTCACCCCTGTCGCAGGTCGATGCGAAGCCCGGAGATATGGTCATGGACTATTGCGCGGGAAGCGGCGGCAAGGCTCCAGTCAGATTTGTATCATTCTCGTCGGTTGTCGTTGTTGTCAGCGCAGACTCCGGCAGGCGCTTTGCATCGCTCCGCCAATGCTCAATCGAGGGCAGGCCACAGCATGAGAACTTGCCATTTGCTGCTCTCTGGGTCTCCGGCATCACTATAGCACCCATTGCTGCAGAGTTCGAGAATTGTGCTTCTTTGCAGCTGATCTTGCCAGGAGCCTCCAGCAGCCTCCTAACATGCATGCACTACAGAAGTTAGCGCACATCCACTTCTTCTACTTTGCGCAGAACGCTGCATTCAAAGTAATTCCGTCAGTGCATTGCCAGTAAGCAAGACACGGACTCCTCTAGATGCTAGGACTTGAATATACTTGAATGATTGTTTTTTGTTCGCACGCTGCCATGTTCCGATCCCTGGAATAGTGGCGCCTGCAGTATGGGCGCATATTGCTGCCGGCAAGATAGTCAACTTCTTCCAGGAGAACCGACAGATGCGGATGCTCCGAGATATGGTGAAGGGCCATCATTGATGCCCCCAATGGGTGAAGAGGAGAACGACGAGCAAGAGTCCGAATCCGAGGATGAATCTATGCCTCAATTGCCTGCTGGCGGAATGTTTACCGTCATGATGTTTGGAATGACAGGAGCTGGTAAGAGTGCAATTGGCAATCTTCTGGCTGGCTGCGAAGCCTTTGCATCTGGAGATGATACAGCCAGTGTGACCAACTTGGATTCTGCACCTTGGTCGCCAGAAGTATGCTGTTTTGTACATGCCATTTGGCCTTTTTTTGTGGGTCAGCTAGATGCCTGGTTCTCTGCAGGCATGTCCCATGCACCCTGCAAGTATTGCAGGTCATGAGATTCCAAGCACACGATGACTCTTTCATCGTCTTGGATACGATTGGACTTGGAGACACTGAGATCGATCAGGACAAGGTTGTTTCAAGCATCCGTGACGTAGCACTGTCGGCAGTCAACGGGGTGGACGCCATGTGTTTTGTGATGCGAAATGCACGCATCACTGATGACGCCATCGCGCGACTGATTTATGTGACAGAGTTTTTGTGGGGCACAGAATGCTTGCTGAACCTTTACGTGGTCGTCACTTTTGCAAGCCGGTATCTTGCAAGCCGGGAAGATGCAAACCAGTGGATCGAGAGACAAGTGGAGTTGAACTGGCGGTTCAAGCACATCTATGACCTGGTTGGCCAGAATCCATACAGGTTCATCTTCATTGACAACCCAAGTATAGATTCAGGGGAGCCAAATGTAGAGGAGCGCCAGGCAGCTAGCAAACGGGCGTTGATGACAGCGTTTACGCAGCATCCTCGTGATGTCATCCCCCCTTTCACCCATGCGGTCATGCAGAAAGCCAAGCAGTTGGTGGCTGAAGAAGCAGCGGAAATGGAGAAGGCAGCTGCTAAAGTGCAAGAAGTTTGTCAGAAGAAAAAGAAGAAGCGAAGGAGAAGCCGACCTCAAGCCGCACGTGCTCAGAGCAACGAAAGCGCCAACATGGAGAATGCTGAGGTGGTCAAGGAAGCTTTAGAGGAGAGGAAGAAGGCACAGGAAAACCTGCATCAGGCCCTGATTAAGGTAAAGACTGATGCGGACTTTCAACGCGAAGTTGCCAAAGAGGCTGAGCTGGCAACGCTGCGCTTTGGCCAGGCGTACCAGAACCAACTCGAGGCGACAGACCTGGCACAGCCTTCCCCCACTGCGTCGACTTCCAGCAGCAGTGCCAACAGTGGGAACCCGGTCCAGGCATGCAAGCGCATGTTCATCTCGCTGGTAAACAAGATGGGAGGGAAAGGCAGGGTTCCCATGGTTCCCGCAAGTAGCTCGAAAGACTCCAAAGGGTCGAAAGGGACGGGTCGTCCCCTACAGAGGAATCCAAAGAAGAGAATCACAGCAGATGAGATTCAGAGTGCCTTGGACAGTGCGATCTTCCAGTTGAAGATGAGCGTGCGGGGCCAGGCGCCCCTTGCAGTCTTCAAGCAGCTGGACTCGAAACAGAACGGCATGGTGACGCCCATGGAGTTCTCCAAGTTTGTGCAGAGGACGGTGCAGGGGATGAGTGGCTTGACAGGGAAGCCAGAGCGAGCTAGGTCCGCTAGGTTTTCGCGGATGCTGTGATAAGTTGCTTCTTGTAGATGTGTAAGTCTGGATGCGTCGGCTCTACGGGATGATCACTCTGCAACATGAACATCAGAGTAGCTAACTAGCAGCCTGAAAAACACTCCGAGGCAAAGCGCAAGTTGGCGGTTTGTGGCGGCTGGCCGATCGAAATTGTGATGGCAAGCTTGACTTTCAAGAATTCTGTGACCTTTTGGCTTTTCGGCCCTAGGGCTTAGGGGCATTTGTATTGGCCGATTTGGCATGACTTGGCGTCCTTAAAAGGATTCGGACAAGTTATCTTTGCAGGCAGATTTGTGGATAGAACAATTCGGATGGCACGGCATGGCATTGTCCATGCAGTTGCTGTGGGTCGTCTACCGACGATTGACAGACAGAGGTGTCTTTTTAGGCGCTGCTGCCATGAAACAAATTCACAGTGGTGAGCACGCATGCAAGTTTTCTTACCTTGCCTTTGCTTTGCCTTGCATACTGACAGCCCGCAGTGTTGGCCGCCAATCTATCATACACAGGACTGGCCACTATACTCTCCTTCTCGATCATTCCAATTCTGCGTGGCATTCGTGGCATGTCAAACATTGTCACGACACAGGATCTGTACCTCGTAGGTCGTTCGCACATTAGACAGCCAAAAAAAAGTGCGCAAATTTTACAGGAATCCGGAGCTTGCAGCTGCTGCATCACCATGGTCTAAGCTGCCCCACTCTGCTAAAGGATGACATCTCTTGCCAGAGTGTGCTGCTACCAACTGACTGTCAGGTCTATTTGCATGACGTCCGTGACACAAAGCTGTTCGAGTCCAAGCGACGGTTCCGGAAGGCCCGCTGATGTTGAATCTTTGCAACAGTGAGTGCACTGCTCGCACCTTGCATGTGCACTTGCGAGCTCTTCTGCAGCATATGGCTCAAAGGCAGTAGCGTGACTCCTAGACATATTCTTGAAGGTGGCACTCTTAGCCATTGCATCGGATATGAGGGAGCTCGGACAAGGGGCTGCCGTGATGTGGCACATTGTGGCACCTTGCGAATTGCAGGTTGTCATGGCGAGAAGCCGCAGACCTCCAGGTCTTTTTTTTTTCGTGTGCTTTTTGAGCAGCTTTTCGAATGTAAGTCTAATCCAAGCAGCTGAGTTGATTGAGCTAATTCTCGAGGCATATCTTTGCTGGCCATGTTCTTGGCTGCAACGTTATTCGCTGCTGCCCTCTACGTGTCGGGGGCTCGCCTGTGAAAGTGCATTTGAAGTGCCTCTGATCTCTTTGCACGCTTGGGGCCCTCTTCCAGAATTTGATCAAGGATGTGTCCATGATGTGCCTACTTAGCCTAGGCCAAGCCAGGCTTTCGTGGTGGGTGGTGCTGGCACGGGCGGAGTGACCATGCAGCCATTGAAAGGCCAGTGACTGGGAACAGCTCCATCTGTATGAGCGTGACTTGCGGGCAAGGCTCAACGGCTTCTGCCGCACCCCGTCAGGCGCATGTGCATGCGCACGGTTTGTTCGTCTGTTCTGTAGTTGGGCTTGACAACTGTCAGTCTTTCGGCCCGGAGCCGCTGGTGGCCTCGGCATTGCGAAGCCTTGGTTCAGTGCTCTTCCTGGGAGGGTTGCTTGGCTTAGATGTAAAATTTTGGATGCGACAGCGAGTAGTTGCTGGCTTTACGAAGTTTGTTCTTTGTCCAAGGCTGGCGGCCACCTTCCGGGTCAGAGCACCATCAGGCTTCATGCTTTTCCATGTGCTCCACGTCAAAATGCGCGGGAAAATTCCCAGCTGCCTCAGGCTCCCGATTGAGAAACAAGGTGAAGGCGACTGTGCAGCTGCAGTCGGCACGGGCTGTCTGCAGCTTTGAGGGACCCCCCTGTGGTGCTTCTTTGCACTCCTTGGCCGATGAAAAGGATGTGGAGGGGGAGTGTGCCGAGTGTGCTGAAACCGTGAATGTGTGGCCAGAGATGTTGCCATTTTGCCAAGCCCCGGAGCCAGCGACTCCAGCGACGCCAGCGACTCCAGCGACTCCAGCGACTATGACTACTACGAGGACTTCCGTGGGCCGCACGGCTGTGAAGGCGCGCCTGGTTCAAGGCGTGCGCTTCCGCCCTGCCCGCTTCGTCGGGAATGCTCCTTTCGTCAGCCAAACAAAGCAGCGGCGTAGAACGGGAGCCAGACTACGGGCTGTGAGCACCATGTATGAGATGCCACCCATGTCTTTCGACGCCAGCCGTGTCCGTATCCCAATACAGATGCTTGGATGGCACGTCGAGCTCAAGCGTCTCGCAAGGTGTGTAGTCGGGAGCCGATGTTTGCGATGGCGAGTTTCGCAACGGAACACAAAGTGCTTTAAAGCGCCCCTCAGAGCGCCCCTCAGAGCGCCCCCTCAGACTGACCCAGACTGCCAGCATCTCAGGATTGGGCTCAGCACGAATCCGCGTCCTCGCACCCCGAAGGCCAGAAGCCAGCCTGTGAAGGAATCAGGCGAAAGGATGGTCTCAGCGGCGGCCCCTCGGCCCCATTTGCTTTGGAGCATTCAGCTTGGCAACTGCCGGTGAGAGACCAGTCGACAGTTGCGAGCAGCTAACTTAGTGCTCTGTTCAGAGCCATGCATAAATCATAAAAGTTAGAGCCTGCGAGTTTGTGTTTCCCCTCACCCTCGGTGTGTGAGGTTGTTCGTTCTTAAGTCAACCATTCTCTTCGCGTGCCGGCTCCCCGCGCCCTCTCTGCGCCCCATGCGCCCTAAGACTCGCGGCGTGTTGTGTTTGAGCTGCGGCTCCACTTCGCCCCCACTTCCCCCCCATTTCCACCCCCGCAGTGTAAGGCTTGAGAACGACTGGCATGGTTTGACTGGGTTCCATCGTTCCCTCTGCACTGAGGAACTATTGAGAGCAAGCTACATGTGCGAAGTGATCCGGTTGCAAACGGCAGAAGGAGAGATGCTCCAGTTCTTGGTGGCCGGTGACCAAGCAATACGTTTTGACAGTTTTTGGCATTCCAAGGAACGAGAAACACTGGAAGCTTGCCTGATCTTTATGAGCTCGGGGCTGTATGGTGGGTAGGCCGTTTAGTACTTTAGGCGGACCCGACTCCATCGAATGCACCTGACAACTCTGTGGGCTCAACTGTGCTACTCATGCTATTCGAGGACATTCCATCCTTAGCCTGCAGCTTGGCGGCAGTGGTATGTCTGGCTCACGGATGTCGAGAGCTGTGCCTTCCAGCAGGTGAAGCTCGTCTTCTCGCTTCGGCGCTGGGGCGCAGGCGTGATCCTGCATCTGTCTATCGGGGTCCTTGGCCGGCGCTGCAGTGCAGGAGATGTGGCAGCATCTCGATGACCCGGGAGACATGGCTTGAGTTGGTTGTTGAAATCTGTGAACTACCCACATTTGCATCTGCTGCATCCGCTTCGCTGTCTGCATATTGTCGGCACCAGGCTTCTCAGAGTGTATCTCGATCTGAGGAGTGTGCGTCAGGCCGGCCGAGGTTGACCTGGTGCAAGGCCTCCTGTCGAAGTCACGTCCAGCACCACCAGTCGTTGAATCGATGGCCTGGAGTCGACTATTTTGCTTCACAAGGTGCTCCCCTGATGGGAAGTCGGAGCTCGCTCGCCCTGCACAGCGGACTCCCGCTGATCGGCCTGGGAAATTTCGAGCATCTTCGCATTGTTCAGATTCATTTAGCAGGAGCCTTCGATCGATCGAAATTCTCAGGGCCGCCCCGCAAGCAAAAGGTGCTCTTGCTCCATTACAGCTACAAGTACTGAGAAACAACATCTCAATGTATCTGGGTTGCCCTTAGTGTGATTGCGAGGCACCTTACTATTAATTTGGGCAGGGAGATCGGTGGGGTACACACGGCTGTCAAGTCAACATCCCACTGCTCTTGTGCCCTTTTCCATCGTTGTTTCGAGCTGGGTGTTTCTAAAACGTGCCCGTGGGTGGTTCGCGCATGCAGGCCGATGGTGTCTCCTGCATTAACGCCCGGTCTTTAGATGGCCTTTGAACATGTTTCTGGGCCAACCACTTGCAGCTCTAAAGTCTTCCAGCGTATACTGTGGCCAAGATGCCCTCATCTGCAGCGTGAAGCCCGCGATTGAAGCGCCATCTTTCCAGCTCTTTAAAGGCTGGAGGTCCACTTGGCGTCGACCGTGCGAGGTGTACTGGATTACTAGGCCTTGATGCTGTTGATTCTTCCTGTTGTCCAACGCCAACTGGGGTGTAGGATGGCGCCGCTCCATTTTCGATTCGTAATGATAACGCCGGCCTCTCGTGGATTTGCGGCCGGTGACGAATGGTGACTAGCCGTTGCCGGTCCTAGCTGCTCGCAGCTGATTCGCTTCGCTTCAGCTGTAGATCCGGGGAGTGCGCAATGGCAAGCGGAAACAGTGGGAAAGGAGTGAGTATTTGCTGAATGGGCTTCTCCATGCTGTATGTTGCTGTTTGTTGTTTGTTCGTCCAGGCGAATATCCACAATTACACCTTGCTGCCGCCGTCTCACCCGCAGCTCGCTTAATGGGAGGGGACGTTCGTTGCTTTCAGATCTCATGCGAAGAGCCACGAGGCAATTGCTCCGGTTGCGAGGCAAGATGGATTGGGCCGCCCACTCAGTCCCCAAAACCGTGCTGTGCAGGAGTGCCCAGTCCTGAATTCTTGCTACAGACTCCAGATTTGTCCGGACTCAGGTGCTGGTGGACGCGCCATGCTCACAAACCGGCGCTCTTCGAAGAAACCCAGATATGAAGTGGATTGCACCTTACAGCGCAGCAGTTCAGGCTTGCTTCCTCAATTTAGCAACTGCCCCGGAGCTGGAAAGCATGCTCCTGCTGTGTGTGGCATTCTTGCAGCACCAAAGCTCTGGCCCAAGCCGGACTCGAGCGACTCGAGCACAATGGTTGGCACGGCGATAGACGCAGAGGCTGCTTGTGAGGAATCTGGGCTGCACTTCTGCCATGAATGTCTGAAGCTCCATGCTTGTCCATGCAAAGAGGATGTCAATGCGTGGCTCGAGAAAGCTACGGCGCTTGTAGCCGCTTGGCTATGCCTTGTTGCGGCAGGGGGTCTAAGGGAGCTAGTTTCGCTGACCTGGTGGCGCAAGCGGGCCTTGCATGGGTTGTGCTCCGACGTCGTTGAATTCCTATAGTTTTTGGATGACATGAGGCCGTGAACCCACGCAGCGCGGCACAGATGGCATTGCGTGCGCAGACGTTGGCTGAACTCGTGGCCGTACTGCAAACAGTTCTCCTTCTCTGGCACGCTTTCTTGTTGACCTTGTAGGCCGGGTGGTGTGTAGCCGTGTGCAGGCTGGAGAGCGAGGAGCTCAAGCACGGGCACTGCTCGTGTCGGCGCAGGTGCGGGAACAGCTAACGAGGTAACCAAATGCGACAGAGTCTCGAGCCTGCATGCAGGTTTCACTTCACCAGGGCAGCTTGGCTGTCAACTTCATACGTCATGTACAGCTTTTGATATGGGTTCTGGCGACCTGCGCCAGGACTTGAATAGCTTCTCTTGCAGTTTGCATCTGTGGGGCAACACCGCAACACCGTTGATTGCACCTCGCCTCTGTTGCTTGAGAGACAGGCAAGAGCAAAGCGGCCCTGACATCTGCGACCCGAGCGCAGAGATTGTTTAAGCAGGAACGGAGCAGCTGCCCTGCATGTCGAGAATCAATCGAGGGTAGAGAGAATTGAGAGAATTGTAGGGAATTCTTCTCATGTTGGAGGAGGCAGACATTGTCGGCGAGGCCAGAGCTGCTTTTGAAGCTCTGCGTGCCGAAGTCTTGCAGTTGGAGAGGCCTTGGCTAAAGCAGGTGAGAGTGAACAGCACACGCGTGCGCCCGCGAACGTGCCCACGACTAGGATAGGCCAACTCTTGCTGGACTAATGGCTGCGCCGAGGACAGGTGTCCGAGAACCAACCCAGACAGCTTGGGAAACAACAGTCCAGATGGCTGAGGCAGATTGTTTGGCGAGAGTGGTGCTGCGTGTGTCTATCAAGTCTAGACTGCCTTGAGCAGATGTGTTGGCAGGAAGCCTCGCAGAGAGCAAAGTCATCGTCTCTTCATGACGTCTCTGCTGCTGCGTTGTCTCTGCGGGCAAAGGCCCTGCAAGCGCTGGGGCGAAGCGAGGCAATCACCTTCACAGGGGCAGAAAAGATCACAAAAGGAATGTCGTTGTGGGGTTTTCCAGTTCCACACTCCGAGCAGGAGGTGGCACAGACTTTGGGTGAGGCTTCCCAGCTACTGCAGCTGGCAGGCGGGAATGCAGATCCCAAGCTGGCTCGGTGGCCAGCCTTGGCAAATTGATTGGCTGTTTCTGCATGCTCTGCATTGGTGCACAGTTGCATGACAATCACTACACTTGGGTCGGCCGGCAGCCGAGGATAGCACAGACGACACCAAAAGCCCCGGTGGATGTAAAGCTCAGCAGAGAAGAGCTCGAGAAGGACAAGCGGTTGCTGTGTGCAGGTGCAGCTCTGATCAGGCATTACAGGATTCCAGTGTTTGATGAAAGCAGATTCTGGATGTTTCTGGCAGGATCCATCGCTTGTCCTGCTTCCCATGGATGCCAGGGAAATCGAGGCCCAGAAGGTCTTTGCAAAGCGAGAGGCTGCCCACAAAGAGCAGGCGCGAGATGTCAGCAGCTTGCGGCATGAGATCCTCAAAAGCCCTCGGCTGCACCTAGGCCGAGCCAACGCTTCTCGTGCGTCAGCCTACTGGGCTTTTGGTTGAGGCCAAGACGAGCTTGCCTTTCCAGGCGTTTCTGCTGCTCTCTGTGGGGCAAATGGGAAGTTGGTGTGAGCGCTACGCGTGCCGCCTACCCTTCTGGCTGGGCCTAGCTTCAACGTGTGATGTTGGTTTGTGGGACCTTAGGGGTGCAGCGCAGTGCGGGAGAGACCCTCTCCGTTGCGTGCGATGGAGGGAAGGTAGAGGGAAAGAGGGAAACATGGAGGTGTGACTTCGGGGGGCCTGTTGTCGCTGCGCAGAAGAAGAGATTGAAGAGATGTGATTTCTTGTTGTTGAACTTGGCAGACTTGGCAGGTGGCTATGCGGCGAGATTCTGTTGGCAGCACAGCGCAAGTACTTGACCGATACTACCGGCACTTGCGCAGCAAGCGCTCCGCAGGTGCTGGAGCGTCTTAGAATCGTAGTGAGGATACGAAGCGTTCGCAGTGAAAGAGGCCCCGGCGCTCCAGATCCCGGAAAGTTTCACTAGACCGTGTGTCACCACGCACATCTTCCTGATAGCGCTTAGCAGAGCAAGCCAGTTGGGACATGGAACCGAGAGTCTACTTCGTCGAAAGCTGTCATTAAACGACTTGTTTATATGTAATTAAAGGGCAACGACCCTGATCTAGCATTACCCAGCTAAGCAAGCGATGTATGTATCCTGATTATATTTGTGTCTCGCCGCAACCTTAAACAAGCTCGAGTATTTTGTTTCGTGTATACTGTATAAATCAGCACTATTGTTGTATGGATTGAGATTGGTGCTTTTTTTCCTTACCGATCTCAGATCAAGTGCGGGGCAAGAAAGAACCATGCTTCACACGGGGCCGCACGCTTGGATGGACATCAGTGACGTCAGTGAACATGCTGCAGCGGATGTTTGACACGACGGCGCCTTCATGGGCCTTGGTTGGTCCAAGCCCTGCAGAAGTGACTTTTGTAGTGACTTCGGTAGCCGTGATATGCCGTGATGTCCGGCTTCCTGGGCAAGCTTGAAGAAGCCAGAAGAATCGTGGGCGAGCCAAACTTTATCGGACCACAAGCAGCCAAAGCACTGTTGGAAGATGATCCGAGTGGTCTCTTGCTAGACGTGCAGGCCGTGGGATCCGGTGCACTGTGTGTGTGTGTGTCATTGCGTCATCCATGACCTGGTGGGCTGCTGAAGCATGGTGAACCCAGTTTCGCTGACACGCTGAGGATCCTGGGAGTGACATGCTGGCGGGGGCGTACAATGTGTCTTTGGGCACGCTCTTCTTCAAAGCCAGCTCGGATCTGGAGGACGCACTCTTTAAGAATCTTTCCTTTCTTGCCAGTTGTGGCAGAGGGTGGGATAACCCGCGGTTGGCTCCAGCCCGGAACAGTGATGGTCGTGCAATGCCTCTCAGCTTGTGCAGGAATTCAAGGATTCGACGTGTTGTGGCAGCATGTGGCAGCAGTTCGTCCGTAGGTGCAGCTCACGTGAATGGCAAACCGGGGGCTGTGAGGCTGCTTGACAGATCTGTTGATTATGGTCAGTCTACCTGAGGATAGCCGATCGGTCTAAAGATTCCCTGATCATTGCGACGTGTATGTATGGAGGGCAGGCTGCGCTTGCAGCGCAAGTGCTGTGCGAATATGGCTTTACCAACGTCAAGGCCCACTGCCACTGAGTCGAGACTTGTTCGGAGGAACATGCATGCCTCGTCGGTGCAGGTCATGCAGGGAGGCAATGAGGATGCTAGGAGGTGCGGTTGTTTTCCCTGACATGTCGAAAGCGGCGAGATCGACAAAACTCTAGCTCTAACTGCGCTAGCTTGTACAGTCCGGGGAAACGCCTGGTCAAGCAGAGCACGAGTTGTCGAAAAAGTCGTGCTGGGTCCCCGTTTTGTGCTCCAGCTGCCCCCCACTCCTGGCACACCGGTCTTCAATGTAAGGACCTACTCCGACAATCGGCTTTGGAAGTGGGTGGCCTTGCAGCGCGAGATCTTTGAGGCAAAGCGGAAATTCGTGGAAACCTTCAGAGGGCACTGCTTGACGGGTCCCATCGTCGCGCGTCTCAAAGGTGTCAGTGCCCGACACGAGCTGTTTTAAATCAGCATGAAGACAAGCCCTCAATCCAAAGTTGTGTTCCATAGTGTTGTCCGTTGTCGCTGTACTATACCTTTGTTGTGTGCTGGGAGGCTGCTCTGAAGTACGTGAAGGACACTGGGCCTGTGGAGAGAAAGAGAGACAGAGAGTCACACGCAGGTAGCAATGAAGGACAGCAGACTCGGGGCAGCGGTGAGACAGGGTTGTTGGGTTGCATAGTTAGTGGGGGGAGCCGCGCTCCGATAGTCGACTGAATCCGAAACACCTGCGGCAAGTTTCACGCAGACAGCGAGTGGATCTGGGTGCAGAGGCCGGAATGGATCCCGCCCTATCAAGTTTCTCGAAAGGTATTTCTAGGCCGAAAAGATTTCTACAAAGGCTACATGCGGTGCTACTTGCTCTTAAAAAAAAACTTCTCGCTTCACATGCCCGGATTCCTGCAGAATCAAAAAGCGTGCGTTAGGGTTGCGAGTTGCACGTCTTTGGTGATCAGATGCTTCGACAACATTGAGGCACAAATCATACCTTTGGAAGGGTCCCCCAACCCCCCCCCCCCCCCCCCCCCCCTCGTGCAATGCATGTTTTTTTGCGAAATAGGTCCGCGCCTGTATCCCCCCCCCCCCCCCCCCCCCGAGGGCGTGGGAATGCTAGAGGCTGTTGCTGTTGCAAGCGAAGTACTTCCTATTAATCTGTTTTACGAATGTCGTTAGGCAAGATTGAGTCAGGACAGCGGCAAGATCGTGATGCTTGGTTGCAGATGCACGCCATCATTTAATTTTTCGCAGGCCCTTTAGCGGCTTGATTACGGTAGTCCAATGAATTCGAGGTTAACAGTGTAAGTGGGGTACGCAGAGCTTGACCAAGTTATCTCCTGGAAGAAATTTATATGTGGGTTGAATGCCGCGTGCATGTACTTCAGCTTCCCTGAGGCAGGAGCCACCACACCCATGACCGAGTGAATTCAGAACGCTGAGGTATGCTACCTGCAGCCTGCTTGAAGAGGAGAATGCCGCAGCCATAAACCGACACTCCTACACTGATGTTTTGTGATGGGGCTTGCTTTCAACACACATCGGCCTTTCCAATGTCTTCAAGGCATGCTTGAGGTGCTTTCAAAGTTTTTTTGGTGCTTTGTGCACAGGCGCAACAAGTTCGGTTCTTCTGTGAGAAGTTCGGACTGTACCTGAGCCATCCGCCCCTCCATGCAAGGCGCGAGGGACGAAAATTCCAAAGACGACAGAAGACCGTGTATCCAGCGTATCCGTTCACAGAACAGTTTTCTCAGCAGAGCGCCCTGGAATGCCTTCGAATGCCTTTGAATGTCCTCAGGCCGCAGAGCCGTGGCATGGATGGTTTCTTCTGTGCCACTCTGGAGCGACGGAGTACGGAGAAATATGTTCGCTTTTCACAGGTTCTCCGAGCTTGTGCGAATGTGTGACATCATGCGAAAGTCTGTGACGTATTTGTTAGGGGTCGCCTTCCGGCCGGTCCTCGGGCTCGAGTCTGCTTCTGTCCGCGGCGAATGTGTGCGCATGCTCAGAACTTCTGAGAACTTCTGAGTCCGCACACTGCCATGCATGGCGCTTCGCTGCAGCTGGGACACCCGTGATCTGGAGAGTCGCAATCCATTCACGCGGGCCGATCGCATAAGTTTCCCGGTTCTCACAGAGTCGACATGGAAGAGCCACGGCACGCCACCAGAAAGCAAGTTGATGCAGTCGCCCATCCCTTCTAGATGGACGCCGGCTGGTTCAGACGAGTTGCTCACCCGCAAAGTGGATACAGTGATAGGAGGTAAAGGTTGACAGATAGAGCTTTGCAGTTTGGAGACGCAGCTTCCTGGCAGGCTGTCCTGGCATCGTGGAACTGAAGATCGCAGGGGGCGTCGTGTTGACGAGTTCTTGGCAGATCGCCAAAGAAGGGGGCTTATCACCCCAGCGAAGTCGCTGGCCTTGAAGAGTCAAGAGCATCAACCGCTGACTTTCTGCTAAAAAGCCTTTCAAGTTGTGGTGGGCCAAGGACGCCAAGTGACATCATGAAGCGTGGCCCGCTCTTCGACCCGGACAGCAGCCCCTTCAGTGACGTGAGTTCTTATTTGGGTACAGGCTCCAGTGGGGGCTGGCCGACCTGCAGAGACTTGGCTCCACTTTGTGGTGCGCATGTGGATCACGCTGGTAGATCGCGGTTACTGGTGTGTTCCACTTGAAGGACCGATGATGTCCTCAAATGCAGCCGGAGTTTCAGCATCTCGAAAGCGGACTTGAGTTCGTGTTCCAACATGCCCCTAGTTGTTCTGCAGTCTTTTGAGGGCATGTGTGTGTTGACTTGACCGTGCGAGGTAGACTCTTCGAGGCGTAAAGTGGCAGCATGGATGCTTGGCATAAACGATTTCCGGTTGATGTCCTGCTGGTCTGACCCGGCAGAAACTTAGTGCTCGGCTGAGGATCAAAGCGTGTGGTTGGTTCTGTAGCCTCGTTCGTTCGTTGCATGGGAGCGGCTGCTGTTGAGGACAAATCTCAAAGCAGCTACGGAACCCGCCTCTCGCCCATCGGTTTCCTGGGCGCTTGCAGAGGCCGATCAGCGACATGTCCCAGCCTGCCCATTTCTGTACATGCAACGCGATTGAGTCCCATTGATTGAGTCAGAGAGCACGTGACGCTTGTCTATGTATATTAAGCCAGTTGTGAGGCCAGTACGCGTGAGAGCGAAGCATTGTTGTCTATGGCAACGACCTCCATCAGCTTTGGTCGCGAGGAGTCGCTTTATCGGGAGTGCCTACTCTCCATCTGCTTAAGCTGCTTAAGTGGTGACTGGATTGTCAGGACCCTCGAATGTGTGACGTGAGTGCTCCGGCCTTGCCCTCCGTGGGAGTGCACAATGCAGATTCACCCAGTTGTGCCAATGATGCGGACATTCTCTGACTACTGAACCACAACACGCACAAATCAGGTGAGACAGCGCCGTGCCTCCAGCCACAGCCAGAGGAAAGGAGCTTGCCTGCATAAAGACTACGACGCTCGTTGAGATGCTAATCAAGTTAGAGCGCGCTAGAGAAAGTTGAGGTGCACTTCCTGGTGTGGCACGTCAACTGGACTTTGATGGGGCAGGTGCGTGAAATCAGTTCAAAAATAGCAAAAGCAGAAGACACTCATGGTACAAGCTTCCGGTCCCACCAAGCACAGCCGCCAGGCGCCTTTGCAGACGAGTCTGACAAGGGGAGCCCCCTGAGCTTTGTGGATAGCTGTCCCTGGCACAGCTGCTGCTTGCCCGCACAGCACATCTCAGCAGCACTTTGAAAGGCAGCTCAGTTCAAGATGCTTTTGGCTGGAATTCGTTCCTTTTTGGCTTGAGGTCGGACACCGTCGTCGTCCTCCTTGGAGGAATTGCAAGAGCTGAGTCTCCTGAGCTGGAGCCCTCCCAAGTCCAAGCTTCGGCATGAGTCGACGCAGACAGAGACCATTCGCCAGCACAACCAGGAGACTGACATGACGGAATCTGTGGCTCGCGAGAGCCAACATGCCAGTGCAGATGTGGGTGTGCGCATGCTCGACAAGCCTGACAAGGTATTGCATGGCTGGGTGCTGCCAATCTGCACCTGCTGTAAAGGCGTGGGGTTAGGCCCCCCAATGGATCGTCAGCGGATTCATGGCTCTCGCTCACGGAGTCTCAGCTCTGTTCATTCCTGTGCGCAAGAGCGATTGACTGCTGCCAGCAAGTTCCTGGATCTTCACGCAAGTGAGACACGCAGTCGCTGGCGCTGGACTCCACCGGAAAGGCTATCTCTTGAAGAGTTGCGGGCTGCGTCGCTCTTTGCGCAGCATCGTTGCGACCAGCATTGCCGACAAGGTCTGCAGCCAAGATAGGTGGCTTGCTCTCCACCTATCGCCTTGCACTAGACGTACTAGATCCTGGACAGCCGAAAATGACAGCAGCTTTCAATTTGCACACCAGTGAAAATTCTGTGTCGTAGCACATAAACACTCTTTGTGTGGTTGGTTGGCTGCCCATCAGGTGTGAAGGCATTCAGATCAAAAAAGATCGTGAATGCCTGAAATTCGTGCTAATTCTGCAAGTCGCCGCAAGTAGCAGGGGAAGCTGAGCTTGTGGGGCAACAGTCGCTTTCTGGGAGAGTTGCGCACACAGGTCCCTGACTGCGGTCGGTAGTCTTGCATGCTGGTCGGGCACTGTAGACAGGTCACCACGATGCTCTTGGCTCGATGCAACGTGATCTTATAGGCGACAGGTAGCTGCTGATACACGTGATTGTGCCGATCTGCGCCCAGGCTAGTCATGTTGAGCGGATAGCACTCACTTGTCTTTTCGCTAGATGGAGATGGCCGAGTTGAATATTGAAAGAAATGCCAGCGCGTTGATCAGGCGACGTGCGAGCTCTGCATGGCGTCCTCGCAGAAGAGTCAGCGGCCAAGACTGGGGTTCACAAGCCCACAACGGGCCAAGCGGATGCCATACACAATTTCACTGTCCTGGAGCATTCGCACCGTTCCATCAGAGTCATGCGGACCAAGTCGAGGTGATGCAAATGACCTGCGAGCAGATCCTTGGCTGCGCAAAAAGAGAATCTGCCGGACGTGTGCTGCAGTCATCCGATGAAATAACGTCAGTTGATTGACGATCTAGGTTCATAAAAGCATTGACCGATACATGTTGATGTAATATGGCAATGTATGGCGATGCAGGTGCAAAACGCTTTTCAGAACATGAAAGTGGAACCGACCAAGAGCACTGACGAGCACTTTGACAGCACTTTTAGTGGGTTTGTCTTTGACTGAGTTGAGGGTTTGTTTTCAAGGTGCTGTCTGCCTTTCTGCCTCTGCCTATCTGTCTCGTTTGCGCTGAGAGAGGACGACGAAGAAGTCCTACACCTACAACGCCGAGCGCGTCCTGGGTAGTGGCTCCTTCGGTGTCGTCTACCAGGCAGATTGAGACACAACTCACGAATGCTTGGCACGAGCAGAGCCTGCTCGAAGCCTCACCCAAATCCGTGCGGCGACCCTCATTCTGAAAAAGAGCGGAAGCGGGGCAATCTGCTTTTTTCTTCTCTTGGAGCTGCACTGTAAGGCAGTGGTGGTCGAAACCGGCGAGTCTGTGAGGAGCTAAGAAGCCTCGGCAGTGGCTGACAGAGGAAAGCACGCAGCTTTTATCCGAAAGTGATAAAATTTGAGGTCGCCATCAAGAAGGCCGGAAGGAAGATCTTTGTAGACAGCGTCTCCCCGTCTCACCAGAGTGCGCGATTGTGCACAGTTCTGCCCGAGTCGGCTACTGTTGAGCACAGATTACTTCCCGCTTTGTGGCAGGATAGATTTTTCTTGTTACTAGGTGCCTTGCGCCGATTTGGAATTGAGCTATTGCGGTGCCAGAGAGGTTTTCCAGGACAAGAGGTACAAAAACCGCGAGCTGCAGATCATGAAGGCCATCCCCGCAAGGGGGCCAATTTGGGTTCCACTTTAAGCAGAGTCGAGATGAGTTTTTGGAGGAACTCCGACACCCGAACGTGGTGGAGCTAAAGCACGCCCAGGGCTCATCCGAGATGTCCGAGATTCGCAGCACGCGCATCATTCCGCCTGCGTTGCTCTGAAATGTCTCGCTTAATGGAAATGCCGAGGCCTTCTATACCTCAGGTGAGAAGCCTGGCGAGACGTACCTCAACGCAGCTGGGCGGAAGCTGGGAAGCTGTGTTGTAGAAAGCATAAGGTCTCGCAAGGACCCGCAAGCGGGCCTGAGTTAAGTCGCGAAGTCTCTCTCCCAAAAAGCCTTTCGTTGCAAACCTCAGTACGGGTGGGTGGCCTGCTTCCAGACTCTCCCGAGAAGTGCAAGCTGGAGCGTTGCAGGCAGGTTGTATGAAGTTGCATGTAATAAAGATGCCTTGAAGAGGTCGTGATGGAGTACTGCTCAGACACGGTCTATCGGGTGCGACCGTTAGCCCTCCGAGACATGCCGCTTTCGTTATGCATCTATATGTCGCTGGGCTTGCCGTGCCGGAACGAGGTCATGAAGCATTACACGAAGATGAAGCAGCCGCTGAACTGAACAAGTTCCGTCAGTGATGGGGTTGTTCCAGGGCCAAAGCTGCTTGGGGCGGCTGCAAGATCGGCCACCAAAGGAACAAAGCAGGCATCAGAGTTAGAAGGTACACGCGCCTGTCAACCCCTGAAATACTGTGCAACAAGCTCAAGACGTCCTGGTCCCTGTACGATTGGTTGAGGCTTGTTAGTCTTTTCGCGACAACACGAATGAAATTAAAGTCTTCCTGCATGCTTTGGCTGGAATGGGCTGCTGTGCATTTCCGGGATTCGGATGGTGGGAGATCAACCCGCGCAGGATGAGCGCAACCGAGCACGCAACACACTTGCTGCAGGCCGGTGCCGCATATCTTCGTTCAGCTATACTCGTACCAGATGGCTCGCGCTTGCGTCCCTTGGTCAGATAAAACCACCGACTTAGTTTCTTCGGGAGGGCTTCAAGGCTTCACCATTTGCTCCGCAGCTTGTCGACTTGAGGCCTATATCCACGCAGTTGGAATATGCCACCGTGACATCAAGCCTCAAAATCTGCTCGTGGACGGCTGCAGCCCGAAACAACCTTGTGGTCACCACGTGTCTACACACGCCGCTCTATCTCGCTCTCGCGGCTCAGGCCACACGCACGCCCTCAAGGTTTGCGATTTTGGCTCAGCAAAGCCTCTGGTAAAGGGAGAGCCCAATGTCGCGTACATTTGTGTCTCGGCAGCCTGAGTCTATCGTGCTCTCCTGAGACAGCTCTCTGTTTTTTTTTGAGGCTCTCGCTACTACCGGGCCCCGGAGCTGATTTTCGGCGCCACGGACTACGGATTCGTTGGAGACTTAGGTTTGAGACGGTCTAAAAAACAGTTGTGCCTTAGAGAGTTGCCTTGAACATTTCTATGCAGCCTTCGCGAATTCACCTGGCCGTGTTCCTTGTGATGGCCAGGTGATTGACATCTGGTCAATGGCCTGTGTGTCAGTTCCGTGCTTGGGTACCACTGTAGCCAGCCGGGATGTCCCATTTCATCAGTTTCCTTGGCTTCCCTGTGTCGTGTTAATGCAGCGCCGCCTTCCTGGACCCCCCCCAAGGCGGAGCTGATTTTGGGCCATCCAATCTTCCCTGGAGAGAGCGGTGTGGATCAGCTCGTGGAGATTATCAAGGCTGGTGAGAAACCAGAATATACATATATATATATATATATATATATAGATAGCTAGATAGATATACATACATATACATATACATATACATATACATATACATATACATATATAGATAGATATACATACATATACATACACATATACATATACATATACATATACATACACATATACACATGCATATACATATACATATACATATACATATACAGATACAGATACATATACATATACATAGACATATACATACATACATGTGTGGAAAGAGCAGGCCGTTTGCTGAAGTGTGCCTCAGGTGCTGGGCACACCAACCAGAGAAGAGCTCATGGCCATGAACCCCAACTACACAGAGCTCCTTGGATGCAATCGGATGCAAGCAAGTGGGGCTGACTCCCTTCCAGCTGTTTGCAGCTGGTATCCGACCATCTCACGGAACCAACAGCAGCTAGGTTTCTGTGGAAGACCCAACTTACCGGGTAGGACGGTTCATAGACGGTTCGGTTTGTGCAATTCTGAACAATCGTATTCTTGCTGAGCTTCGGGAGTTTGGGCTCAGGGCCTTGTGTTTCGTTCCTAAGAGGGATGCAAAGGGTGTTCGACCTCTGTCTTTATGTTTGAAAGTCTTTGCAAGCCGTGATCTCGTTAGAGCAGTCATCGTCCTTGCGATTCCTCATGCAACCTGAAGTGGAAAAAGGCCGCCTCGCAGGCGAATTGTAGTCACGGCAATGGAGCAGCTGAAGGCCCTGCAGCGGAAAAATGCCTTCCTGAAAGTGCTCCAAGATGTGCCTTCAGAAGAGGCGAACTTGAAGCAGGAGCACATCCTAGCAGAGACTCTCCAGGTCGTCATCGCAGCCTTGCAGAATGCTTTTGGGAGCTCAGGGGCCTTGCAGCGACTGGGTCTCCTTGGACGGTATCTGAACATGGTGGGGGAGCCGACGTTGAGCAATCTCGTGTCCACGTGCCCCGTAAACGCCGCAAAATCTGGGAGCGCAGTGGTGGATGAACAAACATGTCACGTTTCAATTGAAGGTGTGGATTTGGCACAGTCAGCACTGGAAGACTTTGTCAACTCTTACTTCATGTTCCACAGATTGAATTCCGAGAGCAGCCATGATGTCCTGAAGTATTTGCCATTCCTCACCTTCGTGGAGAGTCACATCTACGGCCTCGACCAAGATAATGAGGACAGCTTGCTTCCGAAGGAGGCGCCACATGATCGGACGGCACCGTGCCAGGACCGCCAGGACCGCCAGGACCTCGACTCATCCCTTCTTGACCCATTCGGTCCCCTGCGACTTGTGCTTCGCGAGCGGCGATGGCTCACTGCGCGGCTGGACCAGGAGCTGAAAGATGGCTCGAGGTTCTGGGCCTTGGAGCGGAAGCTTTGCGCAACACTCGCCTCAAGCGACCCGCGTGAGCGCAAGTCGATGAGCCGGTGCGATGTGGAAGAAGCGTTGCGGCTCAAGTCTTTCGACTACCGTACCATGAATCTCTTGCTTTATGTCATGAGGGGCGAGGAGCCAAACGAGGCGCATATGGACTTTCTGGCGACCTCGGAAGTGCTGGTCGAGATTGGAGATGACTTGGTGGACTATTTCGAAGACGTGGAGTGAACAAAATAAAATAAATACTGTTTATGCTGTTTTCTGTCAGCTTGTCGAGCAGAACAGTCGTGTTTTTGTGTTTATGGGACCCAAGCACAAGCAAGGTTGAGAGAAACTCGTTCAACGTCTACCGTTGCTTTCTGGCAATGTACGGTCCTGATGCAGGACCTGAAGAGCTTCGCAAGTACATATCCAAAGCTGAGCACGCGTATTCGGTTGCTTTCCGCGAGTTGGATGCTGAATTGGCGCAGAAGTGGTTAAAGCAGAGCGAACTGCTGAAACGACACAGCTTCGGAAGTGAAGGTCCCCAAGGAGGTACGTGGGAGATCCCGCCGCCGATAAGAGAAAGGCTTGAAAGGCCTCCTCAGTGATAGTGGCGCTCCAAGGAGGCAGAGGTCAGTTGCACAAGCAGGAGCTCTGGTCATTTCCAAGCGTGCTGGACCCTAGCAGAAAAGTCCGCGGAGCATGTGGCCCTCTCGCTTTCGGTCTGGGCGGTGGATTTGGAAGAATGCGGGACCGTTCGAAACGCAAAACATTCACAGCTAGCAGCTAGCTGATGGGGGCGAGGCCAAGTGCACAAGTAGTGCACTGCAAAAATGCATTTAGGGCCGATTCCAGACACGATGGACTCGATGAATTCTGCGAATTTGTTGCACGTGTTGCGTGCTTGTGTGAGCCTATGTGAGCCTAGGTTCAAGTTTCCGCAGATAAAGCCACACCCGTGGCACAAGGCGGGCCCGAGCCCGCGTTCGTCCTGTTTCTGGTCTGTTCATGTCTGTCTGTCTGTTCTCCTTGGCACTTATTGTGGTCAGGTGTTTCGAGCCCGCACATCGGCAGATGCTGTCGATTTCATCTCGAAGCTCTTGGCCGGAGCCCGAGATAGGTTTACAGTAAAAGCACCATGCGCTGCTGCCCAGTTGGTGCCGAACAATCCAGGTTTATGACCCGAAAATGCGGCCAACCGGGCTTCAGCCTGTCACTCAAGATACTGCCTGCTGTAGTTGCAGGACTACGGCTTCACAGTATCGCTGTGGAACTCCCTCATCCACTGACCCGTGCCTGAGAATCTTGACCAGGTGCTGCACCCATGCGCTCTTCGATGACCTCCGCGATCAAAACACGCGCATCAGCAGCAACTGCCTTAGCATGTCAATGTGAAGTGTTTGGCATGGCTAAGCCATTCATTGAAGTGCAGCACACGGCGCCCTCTCCCCTCCTTTCTTCCACTTGTTCCGGAGCTATGCAACCCTCACCGCCCTCACCACCCCCAGCACCCTCCTTCCTCACCACCTCCAGTACCCTCACCACCCACCCCTATCCCCTACCCCCGACTTCTTTTCCTTCCACGCCCTCACCACCCTCACCCCATCCCCCCCTCCCCCTACTATAGCAGCTAGGTCTTTGCAAGGTTGGAATGCCAAGAAGAAGCAAGGTGATAAGGTGGGACGCCTCGAGACTATGATGTTCCCATCTATGAAGTCCCAGGACCCATCTGTTCCACCACGCCTGGACCGCTGTGGATCAGATCAAGTCACAGATCAGCTACTGTACAGATCATCACTCGTATCAAGGCAACGACATGGTCAGCCTGCAAATGCAACAGCTGTTGAGTTGTTGCGCTGTTATGCTGTCATCGATGCTCGGAACTTGGAACTTTAGACGACAGGGTGGCCGGGGTAATGAACGATCACGCCTGTGCCTGCAAGAGAACACCTCATCAGCCTTGGGAAGTTCGATGCCCTGCACGCAAGCATGGGTGGAGGCATTGCAGGTGATGTGGTCCTTCAAAAATGCTTCAGTTCTGGTGGAAAGTAGGCGAGTTGGTGTGTGTGTGTGTGCGCTTCACCCAATTCTTTCCGAAAGATACACATTAATTTCCTTTTGTTCATAGGCCAGGAACGACCGGTTCACTACAACAGTACAGAAACGACTTGTTCTCCTGGCACTTGCTGTCGAAATCAAGCCCCAGAAAGCAGTCTTAAAACAAGCATTTGTGGTCCGAAGTGGCCTTAACGCCACTCGCCCCAAACCCAGCCCCAAAACCCGTCAGCCTCTTCAAAACACAGCCAAACCCCCCTCACCCCAACCCGTTCAAAAGAGGTCAAACCCGAAACCCACTCCAAACAAACCCACCCCCAGCCCCTTCAGAACATGGTCAAACCCACTTTATTCCCGCTTTGGGGAATATAATACTTTAACACCCTTGAGATGGGCGGCCATGTTGCCGAAAGGAGCCAATCCGGTCGCTCCAGTATTATATTTACGGTATTACTGTAAAGTGTGATGCGCAGGGCTGCTTTCACTCTGCGAAGAATCGGTGGGTTTTGGGTGGGCTGGAGTGGGTGTGGTTTGGAGTGGGTTTTGCGCCAAAACATGCCCAAGCATGCACGGATGCACTCGTGGCATCCGTTCACCAGACGCGCAACTTGAACATTCTTAGAGCCCAATCAGGGTGCTTGGCAACAGCTGATTCGCTAGGAGCACAAGTCGGTCCTGTACAGTTGCAATCCAGCACTTGCCCATTTGCCATTTCCAACAAGCAAGCTTCCGCACTTAGCGGTTGATCTGGTTGCAGCTCAACGTTCACGTTTCCAAAACAATTGCCCATTCGACGAAGATGCAGATGACCAGTCGCTTCAGGGAGGATATTGGCTGTATGCTTCCATGTCCTTGCTCAACTGCTGCACCAGTAACCACCCGTGCTGCTCGGCCGTGATTTCCATGCTTCCTCGTCGCCATGTGATATCGGCAATGTGAAGTTGTAGTACGAGTAAGTCACAAGGACTAGGACGGGATCATGACTTGCTCCAACGAAAAAGCTCCTGGAATTTTCTACTTTCCGTACATTGATGAATATCTGCGAGGACATGGAGGCGTCCAGCCAAAATCTTCCCTTGTGATTGGTCATCTGTATCATGAATATCTTTCTTCATGGATGTCGAGAATATGAACGCTGCGTGCAGGAACTGGTTGCAAGGAATGGTGAAAGAGATGCCATCAAAGCGACTTTAAGCATGATGATTGAGGATCACGATTCCAAACTGGCCCACATTGTGTGATCGAACAGCATGCATCACACCGTGGACGAGCTCCACGGACATGCAAATGACATCCGAACCAGTGGAGTTGCGTACCATTATCGAGGAGGAGCCCGTATCCACACGACGCGTGCCACCGTGCCAACACCTTGGTCAAGCATGAGCCCGTGGCCACGCCTGCTAGGAAACGTGCCAAACCTTGGGATGCCGAGGCTTTCCACCATGTTTCGGTGTTGACATGCCCAACGGAACCTAAACAAAAACACAGGGCCATGAGCACCCCCAAAAAAGGGTAGGCATTTGCCTTCAGCACAATGGGGTGTCGAGGCGAAGAAGAAAGACTTGCGCCTCATTGTGAAGTATGTGTTAGTTGCTTTACGCGCTGCCCGCGAGATATTCGGATCGCACCACGCTGCAGAGACAGTTTCTCGTCGTCTTCTTGGGGTAGCATCCACGTCAGGGAATCGCTCGTGGGGCAATCGCGTTCTGTCTGGAACCGTTGCTGATTTCGACTGACGCTCCAGATTGTTGTCTAAACGGTCAAGACGCATCGAAGACATGAGCGTCCACCAGGGAGCCAGTCCTCGTGCGATCATTTGCAGCCGGCAGAAGCAGGGGGGAGATGCTGACATATGCTGACATGGTTTCCGAGGCACCAAGCCTTTGCCGGAGCACTTGTTCGCTTTTGCGAAGGAGGAGCTTGCTGCTGCCCCAGAGTTCAGTACCGCCGACAGCTGTCTTTGTAGATCACACTGTGCCAGCAGATGGCCGCATGATTTTGCCACACCGGTGGTGCTGAGCAGGCTTTGATGGATCCCGAGCTGCGACGAAAACTCATCCCAGCTTGGGCGGCTGACTTAGCATCTGATTGTGTGCAGCGCAGGTGGCAAATAGATCCCATTGTAAATTCAACACGGGCCTACGAACAGCAAACGTCTTGCTGAGTGTTGTACGCATCAGTTCAGCGAAACATAGGCGATGAACGCCGTGTGCTGTAGGCAATATGCATGGCCAGTACGCGAGTGCGACAAAATGGACAGGACAGTGGACCAATGATTCACTTGAATCAATTGTACGGGGAAAGTGGAGAAGCCGGCTGCCAGCTGAGGCGGAGGCCAAGAGGGTTGAGCTGGCGCCAGCCCAGGCTGATCCGTGCAACGCTCGCAAAATCGCCCCATCTTCGAAGTGTTCGTTTTCTCGATGTGTTACGGTTGCACAGTGTCACATGGGCACCGCGCCTCGTGCCAGGGATGAGCTTGAGCGCCACAAGTTGCCCGAGCCCAAAGCTTAGGCTCCTAAACGCCAGAGATGATCTCATGGTTTAGATCGTCACATTCAACAGCATCAACTTTCTTGCCCCATTCAGGCTGTGCCCTGAAGTGATGGGCAGTGGGCCCATTCGCAGGGCTTTTTGGTTCAATGCCATCCTACCATTCTGAATAATGAACGCTTAGAAAAAGCAAGGGGTAAGGGATATGCATATCAAGATCCACGCACCGTATCTAAGTGTCTCTAAGGCCGATTGACAGGAATAGGTACTAGGCAGCTTTGTTATCTATCTTGTTCTCGCTTCCACGTTTGCTTAATGTTGACCTGGCGGTGCCTAGCTTCTCGCAGATCGGTACTGCCAGCATGTTTCCAATCGAGCAGCAAAGGCCGAATGGCGTGTTGTTGCTTCGTTTTGAGAATGACAAAGTATATGGTTTGCCATCACAACCCAACGACACGACGAAGTGGCAGATGTGCTGCAAAACTGCTTTTGGCCCGTAGCGTGTAAGATACACGAAGGCCTGGAGCCGTGGAAGGTAGTTTCGACATGGGTGGAGCAAAGCGCAGCGAGGTTCATCAGTCTTTTCTGTCAGCCAATGCGGGACTGCGAAGCTGTCGCTTTGCCCTCCCTGGATCATATTCTGGCCCACGGCGACGAAGTTCTAAAGTTCTAAAGCTTTGTATCAACTCCGATATGTGTAAGCAATGTAAGCAAACTCACTTGACAGCGGTGCTGGGTTGTTTGCGGCCGAGATGGCCCTGCAATGCGCATTTGCGTTGTGTGAGCAGCTGAAGCCTGAGACAGGTGGATGAGCAATCATAGGTAGTGAGTTGCTGTTCGTTGTCATGACTCATGAAGCGGCATCAGCTGCTACAGTTCTTGGAGGATGTTGCCGACCTGCTTTCTGAGCTTAGCAGCTGCCGGACTTCACAGGCGACCCTTCAAATACAACGTGTTAAGAGAGCCCTGTGCCTTACATGGGGGCACCGTGGGCATGCTGTACAGTTGCTGCCTGCCGTTCCCAACTGCCGTCCAGTCCCAAGAATTCCCCAAGGCCTCTTGCCAAGCCCGCCCCCTCAAGCCCCCCCCCCCCCCTGCCGCTGACGATGGATTTTCGCGTGATCTGAGTTCCGCTTTGTTGACTGTACAAAAGAAATTGGCAGGGCAGAGGTGCATCCTGCCCCGACGTTCGCCAACATGAGGAGCAACGCGTCAGCCATACCGAAGCATGCGGTAGAACAGAGAGAGAACGGAACAGATGAACTCAGATGAAGGATGGTGCCTGGCAGCTTGCAACTAGATAACTACATCGCATGAAACTGCCTCGGAGACATTCATCTTGACACATGTCTAGCTTTGCCCAGTCATGCAGGGTGTTAGATGGGGAAGTCTCCTCTCCTTAGCTGGGGACGCTGGTTTCTCCAATGTTGGCTAAGAGTGGAGACTACTGTCGCCCTTGCTCAGTCCAAAAAGTTATTGCGAATGGGTTCAGTGGCCTCTTTGCACGGCAGCTGTCGGAGAGTCGTACAGCACTTGTGCAGACACTTTCAATCATCTGACCTTGATGGCTTAATGTCCTGCCTCGGCCCTAGATTCCCTAGATGCTTCAATGGAGAGAGAAGCCACCAGAAAAGTCATGGATTGTGCTGATGACGTCTGACTACTGCGGTGAAAGTGCTGGGGCGGATACCGAGCATGAGATCTAGCCGCAAGTTACTATGAAGTCATATTAATATCACATTAAGTCATTCAGACTGGTCCTTGCCATGGTGGTGCCTGGCACCAGCAGGTATGAGGAACCGGCGGAGCAGGAGCTTGCCCTTCAGTCTTCTCGCATTTCTGGTCCTCTGCCGATATCGCAGTTGACAACATCCGGAAATAAGCAGAAGATATGAGCTCAGCAGCCACATGGTGCTTTCGGGGTTTCGCAGCTTTACGGCTCAACTGTTTATTCTCAAAACCCTGCTGCGATCCGGCCTTCTCCTCAATGTGGCGCAGGCCTTATCATCTGAATCTTTGAGCGGCATGCTCAGGCAGAATGGCGGCAACTGCTGCACGGATTGGAGACGCTTGGCTGTTCCCAAGGTTCTCAGCAACACGACCCACAACGTGGTTAGGCAACCTGGACACTAACAACCCCCCACTCCAAGTCACAACCCCGCGGCGCGGTTCGTCTTTTCAGACCGCAGACCTATATACTCGGCCAGACGTTTCTTTAGGGCAGAGGACCTTCTTCAAGGATTTGCCCGCAGTCACTCTGTGCCTCGTGGTCTATTTTTTTGGCCATCTCTATATTGAAATGCGTCAGATCTGTTCCTTGAGCATCCTGCGCCCAAACCCTGGAACCTTGAAGCTGGAAACTTTGTGCCCATGCAACGTACGTAAGTTAGTAAGAGCTGCTGTTCACTGTCGAAGTTTGCTGTCAAAGTATTCAAGCACACGGCTAAGCGGCTGAGTCAAACGAGAGGCCATACGTCAGTAGCTGAAAACAAGGCCATCGCCATGGAGATGGCTCCAGCTGGACGTCTGAGGTTGTCGCCTCATTTTGCGGCCCCTCAATGCACCGATTTCAAAAATGCGTGGCGGCCCCAAGATATCCCAAGGGTCGAACCCGAGTCGAACGGCCAAGGGTCGGAATCAACATGCGCAACCAGCTCTTGGTAACGGGCAGGATGCTCGGCCAAAAGATTCGTCAGGAAGCTGGGCTGTTGGGAAGGGGCGCGGTTTTCACATGGTGGTAAAAGCTTGATCGAGGACAGCGGGGGGCGAGCCAGAAGGCCTAGCGCCAAGCATGGCAGCAGCGTTCGCCGATCGCATTGGCACCTCGGCGCTCAACATGAGCGATCCAGCAGTGGGCCAACGATTTCCGAGAGCTACTTGCAAAAGGCTCTAGAGTGGAAGCAGTAGTGAGCTTTTGTTGTCCGGAGATGCCAAAGAAAGGGCACGTGGCGCGTCCTAAGTTCGATGTTCATGCGATCCCCACAGTAGATGATAGTAAATGCACCATGGAACAAGGGCTAAACGAAAAAATCCCTGGACTGCACGGTCCGCGGGACGACCAACCAAGGCGTTCCGGAAATTCAGTGTTAAGACTCAAGACTGAGTTAAGATACAAGATATGTTGTCGCTTGCGGATGCAAGTATGCTCAAGAGTGCCCAGCCTCCCGTGCAAGTATCGTCTTTAAGCCGAGGTGTGCCAGTTGAGTTCATTCCGTACGACTCGCCTGCAAAGCTTGCTGACGATGCTGCCTTGGACAAGTGGGATGTTGCAATGATCGGGGCAGACCCTGCTCGAGCTGCGCAGCCTGGCATGTCCGTGATTTCCGACAAAGTGATTGTGCGAGCTGAACCTTGCAGCCTTCAGTTGCAAGTTGCTGTAAGGTACGTCGACTTCACGGCGCCCTACTGTCAGATTGAAGCGACCTATGCCGTAGCTTCCGATTCCAAGCTTACACAATGCTCGGCTGCTTGACTATGATGCACGGATGACGTGTCATGCTCCGGACAGTCTGCTTTGAAATGTCCATGTTTCTGGCTTCTGACCAAGGACGTGGATGTGGAAGGCATTCGAATTGCAGGATGTTCCGGAGCTGCCTATGTCTTGTGGCTGGAACGAAACATCAAGAACGCGAGTCTCGTCTTGAAATCTCATCACAGGCACCTGGAAGCTGCAACGACAGAGACAGAGGGAGCGAGATCCCTGGAAGCATTTACTTTCATCCTTGATCGGAGGGTCCACCTCAGGAAATTGGTCAAGGCAGATGGCCACGATGCGACCTATGCGCCTGGGCAGGAATATCAGATTGCGGGTCAAGCTTCGCTCAGACCAGAAACTGCCTGTATTGAGCCTCTTAAGAGATCTGAGGACATATTCAAGACCGAAAAGTCGGAGCCTCATTCTTGCAGAGCTGAGCGGGGACTTGGGCATTGTCAGTAGCTGGCCGAGCGTCACCCGGAGGTTGGAAGCTTTGGCAGGGCTGAGGTCCAAGCTCACGAAGGCACAGATGTCCCTTTTCCGTACAGGAAGTAAGTGTGTGTGTGTGGTGCTGCTGGCAGATGTACCTTGCAGGCAGTGTCGGAGACAGCGTTGCGCGCGATTTTCTTTTTGCTTGCAGGATTTGGTGAAGCTACCTGGGACGCGGATGCTGCCCGGGCAGATCGGCTGCATGTGGAGTCTTTGCAACATGCTTTGAGGTCTGTGAGGGGGAGGCAAGTTGCCGCTTGACACATTGCTAAGTCGGTAGGTTGCGTGCATCTGAATCGGTGCCGGCTGTTCTCAGCAGCAGGTCTCTAAACTATCTTGCTCTCATTCGCTTCTCTCATTTCTCTCACGATCAGGAAGTTCATGGCCGTTGAGCAGGCATGGTTTAAAATTTGTCATGCCGCATGAGCTTGGAAGCACATCCGGTTATGCGGGCAATGCTCTGCACAAGCCAGCACAAGCTCCCTGAAGGCAGCTTGCACAAAGAAGGGCCGAAACAAAGGCTTGATCGGGCCATAGCTTGATGCAGCATGTTTAAGAGTGGTGGCCGTGGAGCTGAACCACTTTCGAAGAGGTTGGAGAAACCCAAGGTTGAGCCAGAACTTGTGGCATGAGTCTTCAGAGTCTTCGGGCGTTGTTTCGTGCCTGTCTTTCCTTGCTTCCCTGTGTCGAAGTCAGGCAGGCCTGACTGCTGTGAGGCTTTGAGGAGTTGTCCAAGTTCATAGAGGAAGCCAAGCAATCCGGGATGGTGCTGCAGCTTGGCCAAATAAGACCTGAGGGATGAGACGGATGAGGGGCTCTCGGTTTTTGCGCCACTTGGCCTATCAGGCAGCTGATGCAGAAGCCGGAGGCCCAGGATGAGCTTGACTCAGAGACTCGCTTCACCCACTTCAGCCGTTTCCATTCCGTTTTCCGGTGCCAGGGATTGTGCGTGTGTGCCGTGCCAAAGCACTCTCGAGCATGGTCGAAGATGTCGGCTTTGATGCATGTTCTTGCAGGGCCCTGGACCCAGGGACGGTCCCATGCTCTGGGATCTGCCGATTTTAAAAAGCTTCTGTCATGCTTCGCTCCGGGTAGTCCAGAGCAGCGGGCAACAAAGTGGAGCGGCTTTGCTCAGGCTTCTCTGTCCCGCTAAGCACTGCTAGGTCAGCTGATGTCAACTGCAGACTGTGCTGAGGTTTGGTGTCGACACTGAGCTGGTGGTTGCCCCCGCTGCTTGAGGATTCAAAACACCGACTTCCGGTGTGCTTGGCCAAGCCGGCACAAGCTGTGAAAGAAGTGCCCGCGACGCAATAGCAATGAGTGCCGGTACTCATTGAAGTCTCTGCCTGGTCCGAGCACAAGTCTGTGGGCCGATAGTTTCGTTTGCTTCTCGCGGCCATGCTGTGCAAAGGCTGTGAAAATGATGGATTCGGGCATGGGATCATGTCTGTAGCGCCAAAACATGATGAAGCTGCACATCTTGGCGGTTGGTATGTCCAGAGCTTAAGGCTTAGACTCTGACGCGCGGAGGAACTGGATGTGGCCTCCTTGCGGGATGTCATCGCAAAGCTTGAACAGAGCAGGCAGTCTGCACCAGGATAGCTCACATGGCAGCTCAACTTGGCGACGGTATGTCGCTGGACCAATCCATGTGGTGGCTTTCGGATTTCGTGGTGGGCTTGTTGGCTTTGGGCCCGCCACGACCGCCACGACCGCCACGATCAAGACGACCGCGACGACCACGACGACCGCGACGACCGCCACGACCACGACCACGACGACGACGACGAAGAAAGTGACATTACCACTACCATTACTACTGGCGCTACTACCATCCACTACGACTGTTGGTCCCTGCAGTGCAGTCGCTGCCCAAACCCGTCCGTTTTCACTACTTCATCATGCTCCTCTTGTGACGTACTTTTCTGTTGGTTTTTAGTGGCACTAGATGACTTTGCCTGGCGCGTGCCCTGCCGTGCGTCCGAGACTAGTCCGCTAGGCTGGCGGCAAAAAGAACGTTCACAATTCAGCTAGGCGGGAGGCCAAAAGCACAATCATTACAACAAACTCAAGCGGAGCGAACCAGCATTTTCGATAATTGTTTGTGAACACGGTCGCTCTTACGAGTATATACCTATTGCTACTATTGCACTATCCGTCTTGCTGCTAATGTTGTGATGAAGTCCACGACTATCACACTACATGTACTGGTACTATTGCCACGACTTTCCATTCGTATCACCATTGCAATTGCTTTAAAGACTTTGATGTTTCTACGAATTCTATGGGAGGGCTGCTCCTCCTCCTACGATACGACGACGACTAGGATTGAGTCTACGACTGCGACGATTATTCAAGCTGCGCACTCTTGCAATCACAAACAAATCCGTGAATAGGACTGGAACCTAACTTTATGACTGTCGCGAAGTGCGGCCTGTAGGGCGGTTAGGGGCTGTAGGCGTTGGTCACACTACACTGTAGTTTGAGCAGCTGCGCACGGACTCGATTCACAGCGAACTGCATTGGACCCTGAGACTTTGTTTCACTTAAGCCCAACTTTCTTCGTTACTGAACGACAGACCCTGTTCCCACCCGATCTTGGGACATTGTCGTGGTCACCGGTTCCGGCCAAGAACTCTTCGGGTGCTTGTGGGCGTGAGCTCCCGCAATGCCTCCTGGCAGGCGGCGCAGTGAGCTCAGGGCAAGGGAGAGGGAGGACGAGCTCCAGCAGGAGGCTTTGATCAATACCCCACGGACAAGCAGCATACGTCAATGCGGTTGCTTCTTTGTCTGCTCTCTGTCGCCCTTGCCCGAGCTTGCCGTTGCACGTCGGGCAGGTGGAACGACTCCAGTCCGAGAACAAGCTTTTGTCTGAGAAGCTGCAAGGTGGGTGCCTGTGCAGCTTTCAGATTTGTGAATGTTCAGAAAGCATGGCCGGGGCCCTGCCAATGCCCCTTCCAGGCATCGAGCCTGGACTGGAGAGGCCATTGCGCCTGGCTGAGACACAACTGCGTCTCGAAGAGGAAAACAGGCTCGTAGCTCCTGGTGCCTGCGCGTGTGATTTGTACCAAGACTCCCACTCTCAGTCTGACTCGCAGTTTGGCCATTTTGGTGGCTCTCGGGAGGCGGCTTGCCGAAGAGCGTGGGCAACTGCTGCTCGAGCTCTCTCGCACTTCGCGTGACAATCGGCGCTTGGCCCTCCGTGAGGCCAGGCAATGGGCAAAGTTCAGGCCCTAGGAGGCCCTAAGTGTGGCTCTGCACTTTAAGTTCATGCTCTCCCCGTCACAGGCGCAGGCTCGGGCAGAGCTGGACTCGCCCCTTGGCTCGTCACTGGCCCTTAGCCTTGCTCAAACTTGAAAGACTTGATTCAACACCGGATCCTCCGTTACATTTTGTGGACATTTTCGCTGTGCTTTGGCTTCAGAGGTTTCTTTCTGGGACATCGCGACGTGAAGCAGGAGTCCAGACAGAATCCGCCGACGGCTGCTTGCTCTCACCGCTCAACGCATCAGGTAATAGCAGAGCTAACCATGGCAGCATCTCTCATGGGGCCTTCCTCTGATCGACTCCGATGTTTGATGTTTGCAGGTTTCCGCCCGGCGTCCGTCTCGTGGCTTGGAGCGGAAATAAAAGCCTGCAGTGCCTGCAGGCATCAGTCACATCAGCCCGATCAGCCCGCAGGGTGAGATTCGTTTGGCGCCGTATGATGTTGCATGTTACTCAGCTACGCACGTGCACGCGTGAGTTGGTGATCCAAGGAGGGGCTGGGTCTCTTCAGGCCAGCCACCTGATGCGCGGAGGGGGCATGGAGACATGGCAGCTTGGAAGAACTGCGAGATAAGACTTTAATTCAAAAAACAAGTCCCCTCAACGGGCCTTTGGGCCTAATCTTGGGGCTTGGGTTTAATGTTAGCACGACGTGCCTTTTCCTCACTGACTGCCATGCGAGTGGGAATGCATGTCGGCTGGCGCCAGAAACATGTCGCGTCGGAGGGCAACGCGCGATTGGGCCTAGAGCCCTTGAAGGTCTTTGGCAGAAAGAGTAGCTACCTCAGCCTTGGAAGCTGTGCTCCAGTTCCCTGCGCTTGAACGATAAAGCGCTGATTTCGCTGAATGTTTCTTAGCGTTAGGGATTTTTGGGCGCTAGCCGCTAGCCCATGCCTCCTCGCTTCAGGGAATGCTTTGCAGGTGCTTTGCAGGTGCTTTCTGCAGGTTGCAAGGCCGAGGCAGATTCACAGACATCCCAGGCTGGGACAAGTACTGGAGCTGAGCGGCAAACCGCGGATGCGGGCCCTGAGAGCCTTGAGTGCCTCGGTGAGGAGAGTGGCGCAGCCGTTGAGAACAGTTAGCATGGTGGGTAGTAAGGGAAAGTGTCAGTTCAGAGGGTTTTTGCAGCATTCTGGCCCCTTGCCCAAAACTGTCCTGCAGATGTGGTGCAGAACATCGCAGACGTGACGTCAGTGCCGATGCAAAGTCTGACATGGCACTGCTATGTGCTGAATCTGCAGCCTGCAGGGAGCAGTCTGGCAGCAAGCACACGTGTACGAGGCTTCGACGTTTCAGAGTAGCTGCTGCCTACCGAGGCAATGTGAGCGAATGCTGCGTGCTCAGTTGGTCCCAGCGGATGCCCTGCTGCCTCTTGCCGGGGCATTTCAAGGACACAGCGGACGCGCGAGCAGCGCGAGCGACTGCAAGCAAGGAGCCAGAGGCTAGCTGCGCAGGAGAAGCCATCATCCATGCATGCATGTCTGCTTGGGGTGCATGCTGCGTTTGATCGTAATTGGCAGCGAGCGAAGCCAGTGTAGGCAGCACTATTTGCGACTTGAGCTTGGTTGCCAAGTGGCACTGCACTTACTTTGTGCATAGTGAGCAAATGGGAGGATATCCCAGGGATGGTTGAGCAACTGCCGCATAGAGGCACCTCGGCGATTTGCAGGGAGGTCATCAATTAAAACAAATTAGTCTTTCAGAATTGTCATGACATCCAGGTGCTGCGGGGGTCTTCCAGCCCGGCAACCCGGGACAGGCCGACGAATGTTCGTCCCAGCTTCTGTCGTGTATATGCCGTACACTCGTATACACTTGCTGCAAACCTCAGTCTGAAGGCAAGACTCCTATTGTCGCCACAGCAAGCACGCAGGCAGGGCCAGTAAGACCCAGGCAAGCGACAGCAAGGCAGTCGTTCCAAGTAGATTCTGTTATGGACATGTGCCAGGCACGATGCCTCACCACCGTGCACCGATGCGAAGGCAGCAGCATTTAGCATTGTCGGGTGTGAAGGTCAGGGTCACAAGACGACGCTGCTGATAAGCGCACCAGAAATCATGGGAATGGTTCACGACGAAGCTTGTAGTACGTGTTGCCACGCAACACATTCGCAGCCATGAGCACATGCAGGGTACTGGAGAGATTCATGGCTTAATGCGCGGCATTCTTTTACAAGGACTTCTCTGCTTTCCTGCGCCCTCAGATGATACATTCGGGCCAGCACCCCCGGATGGTGCTTGCCTACACAGACACCCCCACCTCCCGGCCCTCCCAAACCATGGCGTGCACTAACTAGCGAAAAGCTCGAAGCTTTTTTGACCAATCCATGTCAGACATTTGCTCTGCTCTGCTCTGCTGGTGTGGGAAGGGCATCATGTCTGCATACCATTGTGATGCAGCAAGCAGACTTTCTGTCTTGGATTGCGACATGGAAACAGCAGGTTTGCGCAAGCTCACCTCGCCTCGAGGAAGCGCGGACTTTGTTGTCCAATATCCGTCCAGGCACAGTGGCCGCGCAAGACGTCATGATCTGCGGTGCCGTGTGAACTTGGTGTGGAACTAGTTTGGGTCTATCATACTTGGGTGCAGGCGGCGCCGTGCTGGAGACTGCGGCCAAGGTGCAAACTTGCAGTGCCGCATCTTTTGATGGACATTTTTCAAATCTCGGCCAGGACCGGGGTCGGCCGTCTCGGAAAGTCCAATTTGGAGCAGGCACTGCCCAGGAGACTTCGGCAGAACCCATCTCTGGTGCATCGTGTGGTCTGCGTGGTCTGTGTGGTTCCTGTAAAGGAGGAGTCTTCGCCTCGGCCGCTGCCATCCCGATCCGACAGATCTGCCATGGCCCACAGGTTTTCGAGAAGCTTCAAAAGGCGTGCTTTGCTCCGCTCTGCTTGGCTCAGTTCACGGTCTTAAGGTGCACCAAGCACAGAGCGCCGAAGCCTCAGGGCATCTCAGGCCGTACGAGGGTTCT